TTAAGGAAAAATTGAGTGTTAGTGCCACCATGTTGGAAATAAGGCAAACTAATTAGATTCAAGATTCAAGATTTTATTGTGTTTCAAGCTATTGAAAACGTTTAATGTAAAAACGTAAAAAATGTTCCCACCGGCATTCACCTCAGAGGTGTCAAATAAGATGAACTCTGAAGTTCAAACTTTATGTGTTTTTGTGACGTAAGGTCAACACGCGTCGCTTACATTTCACGTGTACGTGTAAAACTCTGACCTGATAGGCCGAAGTAAAGATTGGCATGGGATAAACAGATCAACCGGTAGTCGTTTCATGGTATTTCGATTATCCCTTGGCCAATATAATATATGTACCCTCGGGACCTACGGCCCTCGGGCAGATATATTATGATGGCCTCGGGATTACCCAAATATCCTGAAGCTCATATACGATACCCTCTATACAAGGGGCGATCCATATATTCTGATAAAAATGCTCTCATTTTGTGATTTTTTAACATATCACTCTCTTTTTTTCAGAAAATGTAGATTATGTAATTACACCTACAATGCTGAAATATTATAGCTTTATCTTAAATTATCAACGAGATAAGGTTGCCATGGTAACCCGTATTAAGGGTAGGCAGGTCAATTAAATTAAAACATATAAATATCATAATAACTTGTTATTTTAATTATTTGAAAGCATGCGGAAATCATGCATTTTTTCTAAAAAAGTTTGGTATTGTTATTCGTTGTTTGTTGTTAAACGAATGTTTATATGTGCTCACTATAACGTCACAACAAATCACAATAGCATTGTAGGACAGAATGGGCCAATTGACATTACATGTTATGAGACACACCAAAAATCAAATTGTCAGATGAGGTTAATGTGGCTGATGCGGAGTGTGACATTAATGGATACATTAGGGAATATCATTAGATTTTCTTTTTTTTCAAGAATAAGTAAGAGAGGACACTGTCAGAGACATACACGGACTCATTAAGTGCATGTGCAAGGTGTTATATCTGCATAAAGATACTATAGGTAATATTGTAAAGAGGAAGGCATGGTCACTGTTGAAGAAGATCATCTACAATCTGGATGCAAGAAGAGCTTGCGGACAGAGAATAACACTACGATAAATTGAGATGTTACTTATGAAAATATAGCTATCCCACTGTGTAATTATCAAACAAGGGCAACAGGGGTATGGAACAAATCAATGAATAATTGGCAATGACTGGAAGATGCGTTTGATCTGCTTAACATAGGTACTGAGGAATTATTAAATTGACATATTTATCTAATTTAGACCTTGTAATTTAACTGACCTGCATACCCTAAATACAGGTGACCATGGCAACCATATTTCAAAATTAATTTAAGATATAGCTGAAATATTTTAGCATCGTATGTGTAATTACATAATCTACATGTTCTGAAAAATGAAAGGAATATGTGAAAGAATCACAAAATGAGAGCATTTTTATCAGAATATATTATGGATCGCCCCTTGTATATCACCCTATGCAGACAGAGCCTGTGGGAAATATTGGGTGCGGCGCAAATGAGCGGAGGGTGCGGAGCTAACGGTCATTTTTGAATCTAAAATTGGGGTATTTCTGAAACTAAGCCGTTTTGGGACTTCAAATATACCAAGATATGTGTATTTGACACCAAATATCAATAAAATTGTGAAAATAGTAGTGCAATTCATTTTATAGCGACGCAGTATGCCTTAAACATTTCCCAGACCTATATATTTTGAGACTATCCTTTTAACACTGCGTCTCCAGCATTCATAAAAAATGGTGTTCAAGATACACTACCCATGCTACGTTTATGGAGCTGCTCCGCACCCAATATTTAGAGGGGGCTCATATCTGAAAAACATTTCCGAATTTTTATAAAATCACACTGATACTGCCTGGCTTCCAAGATGCAAAAATAATTTGTAGAGATAGTGTACCTTGAACACCATTTTTATGTCACCACCAAAAGTGGTGACATATTGTTATGGTCTCCGTTTTTTTGCGACGGCGGTTGGTGGTTGGAGGTTGGAGGTTGGCGTCCGGCGTCCGGCGTCTGTAACAATTTCTTACAACTTCCTATAACTTAACAAATACTGTTTAGACTGACTTCAATTTTTTTCTAAATCATCTACATGTTCTCAGAAGTTCAAATCTGACTTTAGATTTGGCATTTGACCTTCAATGACCTTCTCAAGGTCAAAAAGGTCTTTTCAACTTGCTTCACATTGACTAAATTTTTTTTCAAAATCATCTACATGTTCTCAGAAATTCAAATCTGACTTTAGATTTGACTTTAGATTTGACATTTGACCTTCAAATCTGACTTTAGATTTGACATTTGACCTTCAATGACCTTCTCAAGGTCAAAAAAGGTCAAAAAGGTCTGTTTTCAACTTGCTTCAAATTGACTAAACTTTTTTTTCAAAATCATCTACGTGTTCTCAGAAATTCAAATCTGACTTAAGATTTGACATTTGACCTTCTCAAGGTCAAAAAAGGTCAAAAAGGTCTGTTTTCAACTTGCTTCAAATTGACTAAAAAAAAATTTCAAAATCATCTACGTGTTCTCAGAAATTCAAATCTGACTTTAGATTTGACTTAAGATTTGACATTAGACCTTCAATGACCTTCTCAAAGTCAAAAAAGGTCAAAAAGGTCTTTTTTCAACTTGCTTCAAATTGACTAAATTTTTTTTTCAAAATCATCTACATGTTCTCAGAAATTCAAATCTGACTTTAGATTTGACATTTGACCTTCAATGACCTTCTCAAAGTCAAAAAAGGTCAAAAAGGTCTTTTTTCAACTTGCTTCAAATTGACTAAATTTTTTTTTCAAAATCATCTACATGTTCTCAGAAATTCAAATCTGACTTTAGATTTGACATTTGACCTTCAATGACCTTCTGAATGTCAAAAAGGGTCAAAAAGGTATTTTTTCATCTTGCTTCAAATTGACTAAATTTTTTTTTCAAAATCATCTACATGTTCTCAGAAATTCAAATATGACTTTAGATTTGACATTTGACCTTCAATGACCTTCTCAAGGTCAAAAAAGGTCAAAAAGGTCTTTTTCAACTTGCTTCAAATTGACTAATTTTTTTTTCAAAATCATCTACATGTTCTCAGAAATTCAAATCTGACTTTAGATTTGACATTTGACCTTTAATGACCTTCTCAAGGTCAAAAAAGGTAAAAAAGGTCTGTTTTCAACTTGCTTCAAATTGACCACATTTTTTTTTCAAAATCATCTACATCTTTTCAAAAGTTCAAATTTGACTTTACAAGTTCTCAGAAGTTCATATCTGACTTTAGATTTGACCTTTGACCTTCAATGACCTTCTCAAGGTCAAAATGTATTTTCCAACTTGCTTTAAATTGACCAAATTGTTTTAGGTGGTGACATTTTGTCATGTTAATGCCTTGTTTATGAATGCTGGGGACTCAGTATTAAAAGGATAATTTCAAAATATATAGGTCTGGGAAAGGTTTAAGGCACACTGCGCTACTATTTTCACAATTGTATTGATATTTGGTGTCAAATACACATATCTTGGTATATTTGAAGTCCCAAAACGGCTTAGTTCCAGAAATATCCCAAATTTAAATTCAAAATGACCGTTAGCTCCGCACCCTCCGCTCATTTGCTCCCCACCCAATATTTCCCACAGGCTCTGTCTGCATAGGGTGTATATGAATCAGAAGCATTATATGAGTTTTTTTCGACTAAACTTCAATCATGAATATGTTGGTCTGTCATGGTGGATTCAACAATGCATTTAAATAAGCACACAGAACAAGACACTTTATTCATTCCAAATACGGGAGGAATACACATTTTATTTAATTTTCAAATTTATTTGGTATGCCTACTCTATGACCAATGGCAACAATTGAGCCCAATTACTCAGATGCGAGTAGGTAATTGCCAGTTTCGCCACCAGGTGGCTGATTCGGGGGAAATAACATGGCAGGGTATTACAAAATTCCCTTAAACTTGAATATGCATCAGTTTTAATGGTTCACTCTTTAAATTATCCTTATGTATGTGATAGTTATACACATTAAGATATGCCCAGTAAAAGAAAATATTATCTGCCCAACACAACAAAAGATATTTCACTTTTTGTAGTTTTACAACATTGGGTCTACTGAGAATCTCCCCGACCTAGAAGTCACATTTTAAAAGAAAATTAAATTTTCAAAGTTGATAAACTCTTTTCAAAACCACATTTTTAGATGTTATTTTATACGTAGATTCCAAATATGACACCAGTTTGGCTGAATTGTGAATCTCGCCGGGCCAGTTCTAGGGGTTTTAATGCTAGTTTAGAAGGCGTTCATTTTACTATATCGACCTGAGAAATGTGTGACGTCATAGTGGTGGTCCATATGGACCGGTCTAGAATATATTCTGGACCGGCAATTTTCCCCCGGGAAATTAGATATCATCAGTGCGTAAGATTTTCTTGCTATTTCAGCCCTGGTCGTTAACGGTGGAAATAATACTTATAACGTCATTTCTGCGAGCAATAGAGTGAAATATTGGACCTTGGGCCTTCGGCCCTCGGTCCAATATTTCACTATATTGCCCTTAGAAATGACGTTATTGTACTATTATTTCTACTTGCTTCTAGGTTATTGATCGACGTTTAGACCCCCCACTTCGATGTTTGTTTTGTATGGGGTCTGCCACAATGCAAAAAGTCATTTTTTCTTTATACTTTGTATTTGTGTGCAGTGTAATAAGTTGATCATGATACTTTTATTCAAAAATGTACTTTTATAACAATTTAAATACCTTTTATTTTCACATCATGTTTGATTTGCCTTGATGTAATTGTGTCCTACTGTTTTGTTTTAAAAAGTCAAGTTACGTCAAACCCGACTTTCTTATTAGGAAATGTTGGTTAATATCTTATGGTAAATCACTGGGTTGATGATGTCAACGGACAATGACACGACACGACACGACACAACACGACAATCTGATCTGATTTTACTTCTAACTGAACTTTAGTTCGATACAGATTTTATTTAACTAAAGAGTTACACAGTGCTGCTTTAAAAGTAAGTTTTTTGCATTTTAGTCACTAGGTGTCCATATTTCCACAATGGTCAATCAACGACAGCTGAGGATTTCAAATGTCATACATAAAATTGCAGAATCCGCACGTCTTAGGGCAGAGTTCTTTCGCATGCCGTCTTGAAAAACAAAAATTAGAGCGGCCGCATTCATGACTGTAATCCCGACATAGTTTTCCTGAAATAAAATAAAAATATTTATTTATACCGTGACCAAAAATTTCACAATCTAAATTTTGAATAACTTAACGGGATCGTTGTAACGTCTAGAAATGGTTCAATTTGATTATAATCACGCGGTACTAACTCACCGGGGCGTATCGAAACCAAAACGCCCCGCAAAACCGTTAATTTGAATTTCAAATCGACCCTGTCTTTGGAAAATCAATGATTGTGAGTATCACACTACACCGTTTTTCTTCAAACTTGTTCTATTAAAACCTTCACAGAAATACCTTTCAGTCGAGACATTGCTTTTGTTTACAAAGTCCCTCGTTTTAGCGGCGTTTTGGTCCCGGGATGTGAGAAGTTGCAAATCCTCAGAGATTTCAACCACAATCCTTGATATCTCGCCAGTTCTTCTATCACTCTCTCCCATATTCTGCGAAAGGACTCCCATCACAACCCTCCATCGCTGCATCAACATGTTTATTACATGAAACGCAGCAATTCTGAAAAGTCCTACGCAACTGTTCGAAATTGACCAAAACGGCCCGTTGTCTTCCAAAACGCCCCGCAGAATCTATGACTACAAACGTGTAGTTTCAAGGTGTATAGATCCAACGGGGCGTTTTGGTAGAGAACGGGGCGTATTGATCAATTTGGAACAGATGCGTAGGACTTTGGGAAATTGCTGCTTTTCATGTAATAAATATGTTAATACAGAGATGAAGGGTTGTAATGGGAGTCCTTGTGCAAAATATAGCGGAGAGTAATAAAAGAACTGGCGATATATCGAGACTTGAACTCTCTGAAGATTTGCATCTTCTCACATCTGGGGACCAAAACGCTGCTAAAACGAGCGACTCTGTACACAAAAGCAATGTCTCGAGTGAAAGGTATTTCTGTGAACGTTTAAATGGAACAAGTTTGAAGAAAAACGGTGTACTGTGAGATTCACAATCATTGATTTTCCAAAGAAAGGGTATGTTCAAAATTCAAATTAACGGTTTTGGGGGGCGTTTTGGTTTCGATACGCCCTGGTGAGTTAGTACCGCGTGAGAATGCAATTCAAAAATGTATTTGCCATTTTCTTAATGAAATGCATCAATTTCTCGACATTGGTTATTACTTTATTGACGTATCAATTGCATTCAGGTGCATATTATAGTAAATAATGGCTTGTCACCTCTAGATAGAGACCAAATATGACTTATATGAAATATAAATATTTATGTGTTTTGGAGTTGGCTCAGATCACTAGATATTCATACAGTTAATTCTATCTCGTAAGTGACGTATAGATGGCACAAGTGCATAGGTGAGTTAATTTACAAAGATCACGTGATAAGGATGACATGTCACGTGACTACAAGTGGCGGGAATCAGTTTGCGAACTCACAACCTGGAAAGCCCACCAGCATCCTCAGCACCAACCAAAGTAATTAACAGTTTTTTTTATTTTTTTTATTTTTATTTTTTTATTTCATTAAAACATTATAACATTTTTACATATTCGTAGTCGTGACACCTACATAGGTATATAATAATATTATTGACCACATTTAAAATTATTAATCTAAAATTTTCAAGTGCTTGAAAGTTTAACACAACATGACAGTAGGTGAACCACAATTTGTCTCATGAATTAAAAATATTGGTAAAAAATAATGTACAATAAAGAGGATGGAATCACCTTACGTTTAAATGTACTGCAACTAAAGTAAGTAAAAACATATATCAAATATATCGTGTATTGTAATATATTTCTTGGCGATAGGGACCCCTTCGGTATAAGAATATAGCATTAAATTGAGATAGATTAACTAATGTTTCTGTAAGAATTATGTAGAAATCATGTAAATCCAATAATTTATATAACATATTGGGTTAAAGTAGTGATCAAGCGACTCCAAACCGCACACAACTCAAATAAATATAAAAATAAGTATTGCAACTCGTACGTTTCTAAATGGAGATATCCCGAGAGTGTTTCAGAATTTACAAATCGCCTCTAACTACAAAGTTCGCCTTCTTATTATTAACATATTTGGATTCAGATATTACTCTGATTCACAGTTATTTTATTCATATAATTTCCATGACTTTTTCAACTTTACTAACAAGTGTGGATCAAATTGATGTAATGTTGAAATTCTTTTAAATCTTGATCTATTCGTTCAACATCCATACAATTTTGAATTTCTTCAAAACCTTGATATATTCACAATACGTTCTTTTACAGGGTCAACGATTGTATGCCATTAGAGTTTTCATGAATCATGAAATTAAGTGACCAGTCCACGTTTTTACCAGTGAAACCAAACCAAAACATATAAAGAACAAAGAGTTGACACCTATTCATTCATTTTTACTTAGCTAGATAGCAACTCCAATGTTGGATATTATCTTTGAGGATGACTTTGGTAGAATAACCACATAGTGATTCAGGACAAGTACATGTATCAGTGGTGTTAACGGTGAGAACATCAAAAAGGTTTGACTTTACTAAAAGCTTTATATAAGTGAGAACACGTATATGGAAGCCCAAATGTTGTTTTGCAAGGCATTAAAGAAAATGAAGCAGTTTGTCCTTATTTATAGATTAAACATTGTCGAGTTTTAGCACCAAACGAATCAATGGTCCAGGTCTCGTGTAGGTATCTGGGAGTATCAACATATTTGACGCACCGGGTCTAAAAATAATAAGCACCGCTAATGTTGTTAGATTTCTTCTTTTTGTGAACTAAATGCAATTAGAACCGAGCAAAGTAAAGAAGAAAAAAGTGGCGTTTGATGGAGCATTTGGATGCTGTTAAAGAGCCAGTTGTTCGAGAAATTTTAGCTGTTGTATCCCTGCGCAAACTAATTTTCATCATTCTCCCGTGTAAAGAATCTCGGGGGTTCACTTGTATTTATTTCCATACAGAATTCAGCTTTTACAGCAAATATTATGCTTAACTTTGATACCAAGTTAATATGCAGAACTTTCGAGGCTAGGGAACAAGGAATCCAGCATATGAAATGAAAGTGCTAGATATGTTGCCAAAGTGACAGTATGGATTGAAATTGGCTGGTACTGTACACCTGACTATGGTATGAAGTTGGCAGAACACAGTGAACCAGGTCAATTATCAGTGGAGTAGAAACGTGAAGGGTTGAAAGTGGAACTTCACTAAAAGCATTTCATCAGCTCAATGCTTTGGCTACATGGTCATGGATGACCATATTGCGACCCCGAATTAGGTAGAGCTCTAAACTAATGAAAAAAGCAATATTTTAACCAAAAAAGAAATATACACAATTTGTCAATTATTGAAACAAATTGATATTTATATGTATAATTAGTTAAACAAATTTCATTGTAAGAAATTCTATGACATTTGTCCTGTGAAAAGTTCATGGAAGTTATTTGTAATTGAAAATGTTAAAAGAAAAAAGGAGAGGCGTGACAATTGTTCTATCCCAGCTATTACTTACTAATCTTATCTGCAAATCCACTGCCGCAAACGTCACAACTCTTTGGACATCTGTTTCTTATCTCTTCTGGACCACACATATCATCAAATGCAGTCAAAGGGCATAATTCACTCTGGTCCTCACACTCTGAAACCAAAAGATCTGTCAAAGATGGGGCAAAAAAGGAGACCTGTTCGATGATAAAATACAACACAAAGTAACACCTATTATTCTATTTACATGAAGGTCGCATCAGATCAGAACTAGGATATAGTTAATAGGTTGTATTATTCACTGTAGCATTACAATCAACTCCCCGCAACAAAGCTGAAATCCGACCATAATGTCCGATCATAGTGTAAATTAAGACACTGGACTAAAGGTCCAATACCTCAAGGAGAGAGGATCTCTGCTAGCGCATCGTGAAATACAAACCTTCCCAGGCAGAATATGTTTTTTTGCAATTCATTCGAATCATTGGATAACTTATAGTATCTTAGGAAAAGATGATAGAATAGAATACAATCATTATAAGTATCGTAATAAATCAACAAACATACTACCATAAATGTAATAAAAAGCGGCAAAACTTGGACCATAGTTCCATTATTTATGCCTGGTTAACATTTGCTGCGATTCATCGGCCGGAGCCCGGACGATTGAGTATTTTGTTCAAAATTGAATACATTTCGGAACAAAATACTCAATCGGCCGGGCGCCGTAGTGAAAATCGGAGCAAATGTGACCAAGGCATTAGGAATAAACTATAGCGGCAAAAGCACATCGGGATAGCCTGACAACGGTTAAGTCAGATACCGCTGTCACAAATGGCGGACATAACCGTTGCTTCACCTCTTAAATCACATGGTTCTCATTTCATGGGATTTTATCGTCCCTAATTCTGTGCATGTATTAAGCTCTTGTGATGATGTGTCATATGAAATCCCATTGGGTCGTGAATCGCTATAATATAGCGTCTTCGATATTGTCAATAACAACGGGATCTGAATTTTAAATGATTTACAAAGACAACGGCACATGGTAATACAGTGTCCGTTGTCCCGAATATCTTTTTGATCGGTTGAATTAAAGACTTTGTTTCGATGGTAGAACATTATCAACTGTAGACACTTTGATTGATTGTTGTTCCAAAGGAATTTAGTCTAGGTGTTCTATTAAACATACAGTTCTTGAAAATCGTATTGAAGCGACGGCATTTGTGTACGGCATTTCAACTTTTACAGACAGTATAGTCGCTATAGAAATTGACAAGTCGTGGGCAACCGAAAAATGGTTTAACAGTGGACGTAAGTCGTAATTACAGTACAGTCGACTTGTGTCTACACAAGGGTTTATAGGCTACAATTGACCTCTGTAGTTAGGCCAATCAGGCTGAATGGTCAACGTACGATTGTCGTTTTTTCCATGCGGCCGCTTTGCATCCGATCTGCCTTGGTTTTATAAAAAAATACAATCTGCATTGACACCGTTAAGTTACAATGCGCCAAAATTCAAAAAGTCATTCGGAAACTGCATTTTTATATTCACAAATCAAAAATAACAACATATATAAAGACCATTCAGGTTTTGAAATAGTAACCAAAGTGACCAAACGTCCAAATGTCTCAAGAAAACTAAGCTGCAACCCAATAACTCACCTGTCTCCCCTGTGTCTTCACAAACTCCACAACTTTTCTGACACTTTTTGCTTATAAAGGGAATATCACATCTCAGATTTGTAGTTGTACTACACCAACGACCTGCTTCGTCCCTGCAAACTAGACGGTATGGGTCGATCGGACCCAGTAGACCAGCTCGCTTGTTGGGAGTACCTGTGACAAAAAATAATATTACATAAAACTGAATTTATTAAAGAACCATTTTGTGCACGAAAAGATAATGTTCATGGAGTGTATTGTCTATGCAATATAACTAAAAACAATGTTTAGTCCATCCAATATTAATGACACGGGGGCTTCGTATGATGGAAATCAATCAAGACGACAGATATGCGTTTTGCATTCGGCACTTTTATTTATGTAAGTTATAATTAACATGGTGCTTTATGCAATACCTGTATATGGTTAAAGGAAAGTTCGAAGATAAACCCTTTAAGAGGTATTCGATTGTTAAAGCTACGTTCACACCAACGGCGAATGCCACGCTTTAAATCGGCGAACAAAGCGCCGTCATTTTTGCCATTTTTGTTCATTACGCTTTATTTAGCGGCTTGTAAAGCGAAACCAAAGCGTAACAAAGCTTGATTAAAGCGGCAGGGTCGTAATAGGTCGTAGAAAAGCTCGGAGTAAAGCGGGATATTCGGCAAGCGCGCCAAAAATTTCAAACTGTTTAAAAATTTTGGGCGCTCTGTTACGAATTGATTAAAGCGCCGAGAGCGTATCAAAGCTTAACAAACCGTAACAAAGCTCAGAAAAGCTTGATCCAAAGTGTAGGAAAGCTTAACATAGCTCTGATAGGTTCCTCACGCTTTGATCCCGCTTTGACCAGGCTTTGTTACACTTGAAATCACGCTTTGATAAGCTTTGATAAGCATTATTACGCTTTGATGCGATAATGACGCTTTAAATCAGGCTCTGATACGATTGCCAAGCTCTGTTGTGCATTGTTACGTTCTGTTAAGCTCTGTCACGCATTGGAAAATGTCGAGATCGCCGATTTCATGACCTATCTGAAGAAGACATGATGTTTGTCGCACGGCGTGATATTGCGTGTGGAAACTTGTCAAGCGTAACAAAGCCTAGCAAAGCGTTTCAATCCTTGATTAAAGCGTCTCAATTCGTTGGAAAGCTTGAGAGTCCTTCATGAAAGTGTAACAAAGAGTGTCAGATATTGATGAAAGCGTCTGACCTCCTGTCATATCTTCATGCCAGATCGTAGCAAATCTTGAGACATCTTAACGAAGCGTGTCAAGTGGTAACAGACAGTGAAGAGACTGGGGTCCCCGCTTTGAACCAAGCTCTGTAAAGCTTTCCTACGCTTTGGGTCAAGCTTTGCTGAGCTTTGTTACGGTTTGTTAAGCTTTGATACGCTCTCGGCGCTTTTATCAATTCGTAACTGAGCGCCCAAAATTTTTAAACAGTTTAAAATTTTTTGGCGCTCTTGCCGATTATCCCGCTTTACTCCGAGCCTTTCTACGACCCATTACGACCCTGACGCTTTAATCAAGCTTTGTTACGCTTTGGTGTCGCTTTACAAGCCGCTTTAAAGCGCCATCAAAGCGCCGTTGGTGCGAACGTAGCTTGAACAGTTTTAATTTTTGCGCTCTTGCCGAATATCCCGCTTAACTCCGAGCTTTTCTACTACCTATTACGACCCCGACGCTTTGAGCAAGCTTTGTTACGCTTTGGTGCCGCTTTACAAGCCGCTTTAAAGCGCCATTAAAGCGCCATTGGTGTGAACGTAGCTTTAGTAAAACATTTTCCAATGATAACGAATATACGTATAGTTAATCTGTAGGAAAATATCCATTGCATTTTTACTGAAATGATCAGTTGTATTCCGTAGTATTGTCAACAAATAAAGCGCCATCAAAGCGCCGTTGGTGCGAACGTAGCTTGAACAGTTTTAATTTTTGCGCTCTTGCCGAATATCCCGCTTAACTCCGAGCTTTTCTACTACCTATTACGACCCCGACGCTTTGAGCAAGCTTTGTTACGCTTTGGTGCCGCTTTACAAGCCGCTTTAAAGCGGCATTAAAGCGCCATTGGTGTGAACGTAGCTTTAGTAAAACATTTTCCAATGATAACGAATATACGTATAGTTAATATGTAGGAAAATATCCATTGCATTTTTACTGAATGATCAGTTGTATTCCGTAGTATTGTCAACAAATCCAGTGCCATGGAATGATCATAAGGAAGTGGGGTCCTTGCCAACCAATCATGTTTTTGTTTTGTTCTTTAGAGATTACACACCCGTCGGTGTCATGTAAAATTATTCTCTAAAATAGGGGAATTTTAAAAATGAGATAACCCAGTCGTAGATACGACACGATATAACGTTGCTAAATAACCTATTAAGGAGGCTTCGCACAACGTTTGTAGCTCAAAAGGGAGTTTAAGTTACATGTTACAAGAGAACCTGTACGGGAACGCGCTCCAAGGGATTACTGTCTTTCCTCTCAATTTTTTTCTAAGTACCTATTTGTAACTATTTTCCTTATACCATTGTACTCAATCGGGAAAGTCGACACTACGTAGGGGAACACCTTTCTCCAGAGGATCATAATTCGACATGTTTACATACAGATTCTCTTGAAATCACGTAGCTTAACCTCCGCATTGTATTTAAGATCCGTAGCGCATTCACCAGATTTATGCGAATTTCAATTTAAACGACATACGGTTGCGGATACGTTTAAGCTTCAACCCGTTATGCGAAACCTCTCTATTTTATAATATCACACGGTATTTTCCTCCGTACGTAGGGCTCCAAAATCCAGAATACCTTCTTTCTGTTTACCGACGATAGAGGTACGGATTCTGAACAACGGCTTAGGAGAATACATTGTATTAAATTACCAAACTTATGACACCGATTAAAATAATTGATGTTCATTTAAAAGCATGTTTTATTCAAACTTGGAGTAAGATATTTTACTCACCATCAGTATCGCAAGCGTTGCATGTTTTCCTGCAAGCAGCCTTTACGGCAGATCTGCTACAATCCATTTCACCCAACCTCTTATATAGAGGGCATTCAACAAATTGGTCCTCACAGACTGAAGTAAATTAAACACATGTCGATTGTTAGGCATATGAAGTATGACATATGATAATGTTGTATGTTAATGCTGTAGATCGCATTCAGTAAATAGGTCCTCACAGACTGAAGTAAATTAAACACATGTCGATTGTTGGGCATATGAAGTATGACATATGATGTAATGAATGTTGTTTGTGAGGGAAACGATATGCGTATATCTTGACACACTTACGAACTGGTCCCCGTAGACTGAAGTGAATTAAACATTAGGCATGGCCTTTGGCATATGATGCAATACATCTTGCCTGTGAGGTGCACGATACATGATGGAAAGGGAATGTTCCTTGAATATAGAAAACAAAAGTAAGCTTAGATTTGAGATTTGGCCTTTGGTTGACCTTTGAAATTTAAAATTTGATTTTTCAAATAGATTTTTGGGATTCGAATTTAGATATATTTAATCTCAATAACCCTATTGAGCTCTGGAAAGTAAAATTGTCAAGGCCATAAAACTAGGTAAAAAAACTGTTATTTCAGTTTCTCGATATCCGTAACTACAAATCAATATTTGGTTAAAAGTTCCTCTTAAGGTTTTACACATACAAGTATAAGCAATTAATGTATTATAAAAATTTTGCTTCAAAATGACAACATTTATTTTTTGGAATCATTAAAAAAAATTTAGGAGTTCAAATCTGACCCTAGATTTGAGATTTGACCTTTGGTTAACCTCCAGTGACATTCGAAAGGTAATAAAAATGTTTTCTAAAATCAAGTTTTTGGATTCAAATTTATATCACTTTTATTTAAAACCTACTGAGCCCTATAAAGTGAACTTTTCAAGGTCAAACGTCTATGTCATCAAACTAGCTCAAAACGGTGTTATCTAAGTTTCTCAAAGTTCGAGACTACAAATCAATTTCTCTATCTTCAAATACACATATTGACAATTAATTAAAAATTTCCCAAGCTTTGAGATATTAGAGCTTAAAAACTGAAGGTGGTCAAATTTCAACTTGCTTTAAAGTGAAGGTTGACCTTCAAATTGTAAAATAAGCCCACGGGCTTCCTATGACTAGTTGATTTATTAAACAGGAAGACAGGGCAGACTTTCTACTTTTTGCAGATCCTTCTCTTGACACAATTACAAATAAAAAGGCTATTGAATTAACAGCCGAATTTTTACACTCTATTGTCAAGGAAGTTAAATAGTCAAATATTCATTAATATGTACATAGATCTCTGACCTGTCTTCATGCTTTCATGATTATTTTCATGTTCATAAATATGTTTTATATCTATCATTTTTGCATTGTGACCTATTTTAACCTATATTGTAACTACTTTAACAGGGCCAATAATGCTTCGGCGTAGGCCTTGTATCTGTTTGTATGATGTATTATGAAATAAAGGAAATATAAAATTAAAAAAAATAATTTATTAACGTATTCATATCCATATACTCGACACTTGATCTAATTTAAGAAGTACTAAAAATACATCAATTATGATATTAGTATTTTTCAGTATAAGGACTCTCATATTGCCACATTTATCTTTTTTTCAACAAATGAAAAATTATGCCATTTGTATCAGTTTTTATTGAACGACTCTTGTAGTATGAACATCAAAGTGATTTTTGTTTAAAAAACACTTAAAGTGACTTTCACAAACTTTAGAGGCTGAAATAAAGGATTTCAAGAAATACTTCCCCGGAAAATAGAACATTCTATAAGTATGGGTTCAAGTGTCAAAAACAGCTGATCCATTGATATATATCATTTTGAATATTGGAAGCAAGAAAATGCTTTTAGAGGCCATGTTTTTTTGACAGTCATCACAGGAAATAGATTCTCGGAATGAAAAATGGATTAACATCATTCATTCTAAATTTGGCTTAGAATACTTACTCAGGTTTGTTTTGCATGATTATTGACTATTTTTGATAATTGTGATGTAGTATTAAAAAAATCTTCAAAAGTTAACAATAAATATTAAAAATACACTTAAAAACAAGTAGAGGCTATGGCCCGGTGGTTAGAGCATCAGACTTGTGACTACACTTTCCAAGGTTTGAATCCCGGCTAGGCAAATCGTTTTCTTTTTTTTCTTTGTCTCATTCTATTTGGCACAGTGACATATTTGATTACTTTTTTGGGTTTTGTAATATAGATAAGATGTCTGTGTGTGGCTTTAACCTCCCTACTGTGTTAAGTGAAGCTCTTCATGTGCACTGATTGCGACCATCTTTGCGGTCCAAGCCAAGCTATTTTGGCCTAAACGCATGTTCGAAGTTATCTTATGCTAGAAGCAATTTTAAAGATTAAAAATGTCTTAAATTTCGGATGACTAAGATTCTATAACACAGTGGCTTGAACTTACATGACCTTTTAATGTTAATGCTGACATTTTAATGTTCAATTAGAAAGATAAATATGGGAGCTACTTTGACCCGTAAATTTCCTTAAGTGTGTCCATTTGTATTAACACAGTCACGCTCTAGGGAGTTGACGTTAAGTAGTAGATTTTCAATAGTTTACAACACTTTGTATCCTTTAGAACTAACATTTAAACTTCGTTGTACGCAAAATATTTTTGTAACAGAATTTCTTGTTCATAATGAAAATACAATAATTCAACATTTCTTGTACAATTGTTGTTCAAAACACCTTTAAAATATGAAGCTAAAATAGATGTTTCATACGTTATATGTATATAAACAGTATTTCATAAGTTCATAACATTTTAACTGTTGGAAACCTTTTTCATTTTTGTAGTTTTCTTGTTGATATTTTTTAAAGTTTTGGCTGAAAATATAATTCTGGTGGAATGATCGCGTTGTTCTAGTTTTGAAGTATTTTCTTGACACATCTTTATTTTAGTAAAAAACAGCTACAAAGAAATCACATGTGTACAGACTGCAAATACACTCCCCTCCATACGTTTGACAACCCTTGGATTACGTTTTTAAAGCCCACTTATGTTCACATATTTTGCATTGTCTGTAAAGAAAATATTACTTTTAGGTCTTGGAATACAAATATACATCATTTGAATGCCTCCAATTTTTCTCAATTTTTTTTCAATCATAACAATCGGTTGGACATTGATAATAAATTTGTAAAGTTTTGAAAATTGACAATCCCATGTTAAACTAATGGGAACTGATAGGTTTGTCGCAAGTCATATGACAGAGTATCTTATACAATTCGAAGACGTATAGTCCTGCGCCCCAATGATTGTTCAGGTAGTGTTTCTACAACATTGGAGAAAGTACTACGCGTTGCCCACTTAAATGACCTACCTCAGTATATTCCTGAGTATATTTGGATTCTTTTTATGTATTTGAATCACAGATTATATGGATTTATCGGCAGAATAAAAAGATTTCCGTTTTACATCGGAAATATCTCAGCACTTTTCAAGACGTCGGAAGGGGAACCTTCTCTATACATGTATAACAATAGTCTAGGTGGAGGAATTTAAAACGAAACGAAAATTTATATAGTAAAAAGTATATATAACTACCACTACATTAAACCATGGGCTTTCAACTCTAATTGAAAGCCCATGATCAAACTAAATAATTGGGTATTAGAATTCTATGAAAAAATCATTTCGTTCTGAATGAATGAATCCTAAAATACTCAGGAATGTCAAGATAGGTATTTTAAGTGTACAATGCGTAGTACTTTCTCGAACGTTATACAAGTAGAAACACTGCCAGAAAAGTTGTTGGAGCGAACGACGACAATGTAAGTGGGGTCGTAGCATAGGATAAAGAATATCCATCTATCCAAGTTCCCGAAAAATACAAGTGAGGTAGAAAATTTAATTTGCAAACTTTGTTTAACAACAAATGATATGTTTCTTCCCGTTCAACATCAAATTGAAATAACACATATTTTGAACGAGATAGAAACTTATTCACGTATTCTTTTAATTGTATTCATTTATATATTGTTTAATATTTAAAACCTTACTTTAAATTTCTGGTTTACTAGTAAAGGTAAAAAGCTTGTTTATTTGCCTAGAACATATCTCGTAGTATACTAGCATTGTTTCGCGCCTTCAATATATTTAATGATAATCTTAACATTTTCCTTTCTCGTATACTTTAACCAAGAATTGTCCAATATCCCCGTGAAGTACATGATCATTTTCTACACTTTCGATACTGTTCGATACTTGAGTGAAAATAGTAGTTTTAGGAAGATACCCATTTCAAATTTTCCGAGGTCTTGGTCCATTACCCAATTGTGAACTTGTTGGGGTTATTTTAAGTAGAAGGTATCCATTCAACAATTGAAATAGGATCATAATGTCTTACTCACCAGAGGGTGTATACTCGCTGGCTTGGCATTCGTTGCAGCTCTTTTTACAATATTTCATCGAGGAAGGTTCGCAATACAGATTACCCTTGGCCTTAGATACGACGCAAGATAGATAATCATCCTTGCAATCTGAAGAAAATGTTATATTTCATTAATGAATAAACACAAGGAGCACACGCGTCTCGAACTCGCAACCTCGTGGTTACGGCGCCCAATCGTCTAGCCCTCCCATAAGTTTTGCAACCCGAAGATCCCTTTTGGGTCACGTATCAAAGACTGTTAGTGATTGGCGATTAAAAATATTCATCAATTTTAACATACAAATTCTCATTCTATGTTATTAAAGAACCAAATTAGAATTGAAACTTAAACATGCTTTTACATGATATCCAGGGAACACTTCCAATTGAAAATGTTATTAAGGGAAATTACTACATCTGGTAAATGATATATATAATAGATGTCGCATGCTAGACAGAATTTTTCGTTCGAAATTATGAATTTAGCGAAAAAATAGTAATTATTACATTCCTTGTTCATATAGGAATCAGCGATGCATTTCAAAATATATACAGTAAAATTTTAAATGTTTGGAACTACTTTGAATTTAAAAAATAAAAGAAACTAAATTATACAAAAGTTAGGACATGTATACATGTTTCTATTTTTACATATACTGTTTCAATATGGTCCTTTAATTGCTAATTGTTTAAGGTACAGCTGGAAAATAATATTTCGGTAAAAAACTGCTATACCTGCGCATGTTATTTTCTGGTACAAAATAAAGTATGAAGGCATGTGTCAATTTCCTTGCTTTTTTCAGGAAAGTATTATTACATTGTCTTCTTTTAGAATATCTCGTAGGAGTTCAATGGGACCTCCAGGAAATTCTATTCACTTTCTATTTTTCTAAATTTTCTTTCAAAGTTCCCAGATAACACAGGAGCTACCATTGACCTGTTTCCAGGTTTACTAAAAGTAGACAGTGTAATGATACTTTCCTGAAAAAAGCAAGGAAATACACACATGCCTTCATACTTAATTTTGTACCAAAAAATAACAAGTGCAGGTATAGCAATTTTTACCAAAATGTTATTTTCCAGCTGAACCTTAAATTCAAAGTAGTTCCAAACATTTAAAATTTACTGTTATGCCTTGGTCACATTTGCTCCGATTTTCACGACGGCGCCCGGCCGATTGAGTATTTTGTTCAAAATTGAATACAATATTGAACAAAACACTCAATCGGCTGGGCGCCAGCCGATGAATCGCAGCAAATGTGACCCAGGCATTAACGATGTCACCAATTAAAAAACATACCTTCAGCAGAGGACCCAATAACTAACAGGGCAAAGATAGCGAGTTTCCACATAAAGCCTTCCATCTTCAAGTAATTGCCAAAACGCATCTGACAAAAACCAAAACAGATCGCCAATATATCGCCTTGACTGTTTTGTGTGCACAGAGGCGTATACACAAAAATACAGATACGCTTTAAACTTTATACCTGACAACCTTATATTCGACAAGTGCAGCGCATTCAACTTGGACAATAGCGTACGTTGCAGTAGTCGTTTATTGATCTCATGAAAACAAGCATAGTCAGTTAGGCCATAAGAGGCAGAGTCTTTGTTTTGCGTCCCCTTGCTTGCACGATTTTGAGTAAATCAGAAAAAACACATCCAAATAGCAATCACATCGCGATTACTTTGGCATACATTGTTTATTTTCTTTTTTACCCTGGAATAAAAGCTATATGTTTAAATATATTATATAAAATGTATAGATACGTGTTTGTGATCACTACAAATTGGTATGTCATCCCTTTTTATGCCCTTAAAATGTATTCATTTCTCAGCAAACAAGTTTGTGTTTTTTCTTGATTTGTGTTTGTTTTCCTTGTTCCCTTGCATCTGAGCACAGGATTTCATTCTGTGTTTGCATTAACTATACAGGGTGTCTCAAAAAATGTACCCAAAAGTATATCGAGCGCACAGATAAACCAATCAATATTTTCAGACATTTTTTGCATGGTCATGTAGCCAAAACATGAAAGTTTTCTCCCCAATACACCATTTTTATTTCAGTCTTGTCTTTTTGATGCTTTAACCTTTTATCTTATACACCACATAATCTATGTAACCTCCTATTTCGATGACAGCCTGTATCCTTACTGCTACATTGTTCATCACATTTGATAATAGTTCCGGTGGAATGTTTTAGATTTCTCTTTGGATGTTGCCCTTAAGTTGTTCTAGGTCTTTTTGCTTGGAATGAGCATTAAAACACTCCTTCAAATAGCCACAGAGAAAGATGTTTGAGGATGACGATGGCAGAAAAAACACAGATAATCAGGTCAATTCTCGGCAAATGATTCAGGAGCTACCTTCCAGTTAGGCAGGCACAGTGGTCTCAAATTGATACACAAACAAAAGCTACACTAGAATCCCCAGCAATGCAGTTTTTTGAACCTCTGACCTCTCTGTATAAGGGGGCTATAAGACATTGTGAGGGCCTTCCTATTCACCATATTTGACGGCCCGTACTTTTTTCTCTGAGGCTATTTGAAGAACCAGTTTTATGCTAAACCCAAGCTAAGAGACAAAGAACAACTTAAGACCAGCATCCGAACAGAAATCAAAACATTCCACCAGATATATCAAACGTGATGTATTTTGCGGAATGGTGTGATCAATTGCTTCACTAAATGAGGAATGTTTATCCAAGCAATGGATACACAAGAAATCTGGCCAGTTGTTCTTCTATAAATAAATCATCATGATAAAAGTATAATCTATGATAGCATCCATTTGCTACCGTTCTTAATCCAAATGAAACATATTGCCATCCGTTTTATACATATATGTTAACGTTTACGAAATGTTGTTCATATATACAGTATTCTCTATTACAGGAATTTAGTAGCTGAAACTTTTGTCATACTTTACTCGTATATATTGAATATGTGTGCAATATTTTAAGACTCAGGGAGATATGCCGATTACTCAATTAGTACAAAATTAGTACTAAATTAGCACTCTGGCAAAAGGGCACTCATGAGCACTCAAGCTACGAGTGCTAATTCAGTACTAATTCATGATATGAGTGCTCATCTAGTGCTGATAAATCAATTTTATTAGTACTATTTTATCACTCATGGTATGAGTACCAATTTAGCGCTAAAAAATCAATGAAATTACTGCTATTTTATCACTCATTATATGAGTACTCATTTAGTACTAAAACATGCAACAAATCAGTACTCATGTCATAAGTGCTCATTTAGTACTAATATTTACTGAAATGAGTACTCAATAAGCTCTAAAATGCCATGAGTACTATTTTAGTACTCGGCATATCTCCCTGTGTAGACTTTAGAGTTCACACAAAGATATGTCAAATTCTGAAACAAGCAATTCCCACAATTTAATACTGAGATTATGATATTTTTAGAAAACTCAAAATCAAAAGATTTTATTTGGTATTTCATTTTATTATAATAGATGAGTGTTCATTCATAATGACCTTATGAACTTACATTTAGTAACTGTATTGAATAATAAATAATAGCAAATATTTTCGAAGAATGTAATATTTATTTAATCATGGCGCACAAAAAAGTTTTATGGCGATAGAAGTGACAGATGAGAATCAGTAATGTAATGAAATGAAACATAGGCTGAAATTCCAAAACAACCAAATAACACCTGACGATATTTATTGTACTCCGTATTCAAGTAGGCTCTAAAATTAAACCTTTTAAAATTGCCATGCCTTACAACAAAGAACACCCGCTGTTGTGCTGAAAATACCCATTTGTTTTTTCTTTGAATTGAAAATCAAAAAATCAAAATTCAAATTCAATTCCCAGTACAGGTGACCCCAAAAACGTCATTCCCTTTAGACCATACCTGGATGGAGAATGTGATCATTTTAAAACTTAGAATTTAAACAGTCTATCTATGCAGATAAATTAAAAAATTATATTTCAGTTTATACTAAAATGAGAGGATATTTTTTCTGGGTCAACCTATATATGAAGGTGTATATGTACACGTGAATTAGGGAGCACGCGCGTTACAAATTTCCATTGAAATTTAGCAAAAGTAGAAATCCTTTGAGAAATCTTGGCTTCGGCCTGAGTATAGCAGTCAGATCGGAATGTTTTTAAATGCTGATTGTAGACGCGGAAGCTTGCGTTTGTCTAAACTGTAATCGTATCATATGTTTTAATATAATTTCGCATTTTAATTCCATTAAAGTTTTAATATTAAAGAAATCGAAATGATGGATAATAAATGCTATATACACATCCAGATGCTTGTGTTTATAAATGATGTTTGCTTTTCATAATAACTCATTTCAAAATGTTTCTGACTAATCAGCTCTGGGCAAGAAATCTGTATGAAAAATATTTGTTTTCATCAGTATTTACACAATAAGTAGTTATTTTATGTTAAAATGAATAATAACATATGTTATGTTAAATTGATTGAACAAATTTATTGGTTTTAATAAACATCGTTGACATGATGCTATGCTACAAAACATTGAAAATGGTAATGAGGGTTGGAGGGTCAATAAAGTGAACTAGTCGCATCATCAGTACTTCTTCCTCCTCAGGTTTCGGGGCGCTCCGAAGTATACCTGATTGCCCCTGCAGCGTTGATCAGACTACACATGCGATGGTTAATTGAACCTAGTCATAGAGGGATGTACCTTAAACTAGGATGGGACTTGGGTCTTTGCTTCTATGTTGTAGTTGTCTGCTGTGGCCCCAATATCCTTGACTGCTCTCCTTAGATAACTAGACCGTATTCCCAGGTCCTTCAACAAAATAATTATAATTATAGGAACAATTTTCAGTTACTTGAAAAAGATTTAAAGAATAAATCGAAATATTGCAAAACTAAATCAATGTGTTATAATTAAGACAGTTAGTTATTTCACCGCATATGAAGCAACTTTTAAGTTGTGCGAAATTCGTGTTATATCTTTGCGTTATGATCCGGGGTCTTCCGAAAATTAGACAATCCCAGCCCGTGCCTAACACCCCAGTCACATTTGTCGCACGGCGGCCGCAAGTCGACCGCAGATCAATTAAATCGGTGAATTTCTGCTGCGAGCGTAGAAAAACTACGCTCGCCTTGCGGCCTCCGTACGGCGTATGCAGATTTTTACAGGCCGCAGGGAAGGCGTAGAAATTATAACTCGGAGTTATAATATTTGTTCATTTCTGAGGTCCCCGTAGAAATCAACTGGCTCAACAAGATTGAATCATTATTTGTCAATGTTTCACGATCACTTTTCATTTGATATTACATCCTAGCACTATAAATAACATTTATAAATTGTCCCGATGTAAATAAAATGAAAAAACTATTATTTATCCACAGAAATTTAAAATTCACCGTGCGGCTGCCGTGGGAAATGTGACTGCAAAAGTATGAGAGCGCAGAAATTCCACGGCGAGCGTAGAAATGTTACTGGCCGCAGAAATGATAGACCGCAAGGTCGCCGTAGGAAATGTGACTGGGGTGTAAGGTTGCTAAGATCGCAGCCACCCCCCCCCCCCGACTGAAAGCTGGCTACGCCTCTGGGGTTTTATCGAAAACTATATCGTCAAAATGTTATCATTATGCAGAAAGTCCAATCGGAAATCTTAAATGGTAAATTGTTGCATTTATTTTAAACTATATGTGAATGTTTGATATGAATTTCGATTGTCGGGAATAACGGATACATGTAGGTAACACGGGCAAATGAAAACTTTGAACTAACTAAATCATAAATCCGGGTAATCTAAACTCTTGTGATTAAGTCTTAATATTATTGATCAAAGGGATTGTAATTCTTTTGATTTTGGGCCATAATTGACACTCAGCCAAAATGTACTACCTTTACTAAATGGGAAGGTAGTACATTTTGACTGAGGCCCAGGACTACGTTAAAAATCTTTAAAAATGCCCGCTAGTGCACTGAGTTGTTATTGCGTGGTCTATACATGTTTATCATACTGACTAGATTACTTGGAAACACTTTGGACGTTGCATTAAAATGAATTTATGAAATGGGACGCCAGTCAATTTAATGATGTTGAAAGTATATGGTCCTCGTGGAGATCTAAAGTTATAAACGCAGGAACTAAGTCAGTAGTTGTAAAATCTGTTTCTAGTGATTGTCTAAGTTTTTGGGATGATGAAATCAAAGATCTTATATACAGTAGGAAAGAAGCTAATCGTTTTTATAGGTACTGGACAAAGTCAAAATCTGCCAACCCCAATGTTCTACAGGAACTATTGCCAACCCCAATGTTCTACAGGAACAATGGGACACTTATACTGAAGGGAAAAAACAGGTTTCTCTGAAGATCAAAGAAAATATGTTAAAAATCAAATTGTAGTAATAACCTTAAATGCTAAAACCAAAACTGCATCATCCAGAAGCTTCTGGAGAACCCTAACCATGTTCAATAAACGAAGCAATTACCCTTTTCAAATGAAAGACCCTGAAAATCCCGAGCTCATTATTACTGACCCTAAGAAAGTTCAAGAAACGTTATTGAATACTGGAAAAATGTTGGCATTTATAATAAAAACCCTAAAACTAGCTCTGATGGTAATGCAGCAAAGGTTGCACCATTCGAAACTTTAAACGATATATGTGAAAATGCCCTCTCTAACATTCCCATTAAATGTAGACATAAAATTACTTGTATTCAATTTAGAAAACCCCATAAGGTTTTAACTTATTTGATAAACCAACATAGTGAAGGTATTTTGAAAATATGTGTCTAACATAAAGTCCATTTTAATCAAGAGGGGCCTTAATGACGTTTTTTCGAGATGACTGTGAGTGGTACAGTACCTATGAAGGCATTTGTAGACAGAAACGTACCACTTATTTTATTGATGACATATCCCATTTTAAATCTCTAAATACTTATTCCACCTTTAAGAACCATCCATACCAAAAAAATATCTAAAACAAGACTTTGATTTTCATGGTTCTAGACTCAAATTTCTTGCAAGAACCAAAAATGCACATGAAGACTTACAGCATAGGTTGCTGCTGTGTGAACATTTTAAAGAAGAACGTGAATCTTTTATTTGATAGCATTGTAAAACGCTTTTTAATCCAATTGTACAAGCCCAGATGTTTATGTCTTTAATTATTTTAGTTTATGCAACATTGTTTTAAAGAAATTATTCATGACTTTGTATTTTATTCATATTGTATAGTTGTATGTAGTCACACTGGATAATTATCCATGTGCCCCTGTTATAAAAGTGTTGGCAAATAATGGATAAAATAAAATATGTTGCATTTTGAGACACATTTGTCCTATTTAAAGAAATAATGCATTCCGTCCGGGATTTTGAAGATATCAAATATGGGTGAACAAAATTAAGCTGAAATTGATCGCATACTTTCCCTGCTCTTTTGCAAAATTGAGGAATTGATTCTTGGAACATTTTAATTCAACTAGATACATAATATGATCAATAATTTCGTCAAACTAATGGGTTATAGAATAGATGATGACAGGTAACTTTTTGTTATTTTCGCCATTCCCAGGTGTGATGTCATAATACAATACTATACTTTATCGTATGATCTGTAAAATGAAGCCTTCTGATTGGTCAGTTTTTGTGCTGTACCAATCTGTATTGCTACTGAGATTGTCAGCATTGATCATCTCAGTCGCAATACAGAAAATATCGGTACGGAGGGGACATTCTCAGAAACAATACAGAGGATCACGCGATAAAAACGTTATAGAATGATTTAAAGTGCAACACGGGATATATTCTGTCTCGATATTCTGTATTGGCACTCGACTTCGTCTCGTTCCAATACGGAGTTTCTCGAGCAGAATATATCCTGTATTGCACTTCAAATCATTCAATAACTTATAGTCTATGAGTTTTTGAATGATTTAAAGTGCAATACAGGATATATTCTCCTCGAGAAATTCCGTATTGGAACGGTCGTGCCTATATGGAGAAATAATGAACGTTTAATATTGGCTATGCTGCATTCTGATTTGTTATGAAATTCAAATAGGGCACGGTCGTGTTTGAATGTACTCTAAAGGTTGGCGTTTCTAGTCGCTTATCGCCAATAATGTCAGGATGGTCCATCGGGAAAAGACGAGGACATTAATTGTCATATAAAAAATTACAGTGTCCACACGTCTTAGGGCAGAGTTGAGTCCCATGCGGCATTGAGAAACAGACGAAGTCATCACCGATAAGGCACTTATGACTGTAATCCTTACACAGTGTTCCTGAAATAAAATAAAAAATATTGATGCTGTGACTCAGACTGTCAAAATCCAACTGTTGAACAACCTAAAATGAATCATGCCCACTTCGAGAAATGCGTTTTCGTCAGTTCTCATATCAAAGGCTAATCATTTCAGTTTTTACTAAATCGACGTATCTTTGAAAATGTGTATGGAGGCAATACTTCACTCAAGTGATGGTAAAGAGAAAAATACCAATTTGAGAAGATGGAAGATCGTTGATAAATGAATGAACAGCTGATTTTATAAAATGCTGCGAGAATTTGCACAAAAGGGAATTACAAGTTGACACCTCTACATTGCTATCAATTCAGGAACAAAAAAACTATATATAAGCTTAAATCTAAACAATTGTCATCGCCGGAATTCGAGCCTCCGGCCTCATGGATGGGTATTAACTGATGAGACCAACACGCTAGGCCAATTGGAGTCTTAGAGTTGAACTTTGTAAATACTGTAGGACCGTCAAACGAAAAGGTCGTATGTGTACGCTTCTGAAACGATCAGTTATACTACAAATTATAAAATTATATGAGAAATAAGAAATGATGATGTTTATTTAGCATCGACTTTCCAGCATCTCTATGCATACAATCGCGTTACTAAGTATATCGAGCCCATACAACCAACCAGATTAGAGGAAATCGGAGTCGGTTATTTTAATTTCATTTGAAACATTTCTTTGTGAAAGCGAAAAATGTCAGCGTATCAAATTGATTCCGCAAACGAATTGAATAAAGCATCAGTGCTGGTTAGTAGATGGGTAAGTACAAAACATTGCACGGTGCCATGGCATACCCTATGACATAAGCTACGGCACCCCGTGTTTTATGCTCTAGGACATTATTTTGAGTCAAATTTTAGCAGATTTGTATGCCTCTTATGAGAACAGATTTGCGTAAAAGTCATTTTTAAAAATGACCACCAGTTTCAAAATGGCCGCCATTTCAGTGTCAAATTTATTGTATTTTAGTGACAACATGTAAACCTGTAATGTTAATAATGTTTTTAATGCAGAAAATGATGACAATTATTGATTAAGTTAAAAATGTGATTATTCTCTTGAAAAATAATTACATTTTAATGTAATTATTATCTTGAAAAAATGGTGGGCGTTACACGCTATTTTACGATTTTTGCTGTATTTTGAAAAGAAGCGGAGCAATTTTGTACATATATCCTATGTGTATATTCATCAGCTTGATACACTTTCTAATGACAATTTGGCTATTGAGTGGCCATCATGCCAGATATTCCAGGACACTCTTTTGAGTTAGTCTTGCAATTTAAAGTTTTCCAAAGCTGATTTTAAAAATGGCTTCCAGATTCAAAATGGCTACCGTTTCAGTGTTCAATTTACTTTTTTTAGATACAATATCGATACTGCAATATTTAAACATTTTAAGTGCAAACATTATATGCTAGGACTTGGACGTCACTACAACTCCTGTGCTGTATAGGCTCTATGGCACTCTTTCAAGTCAAATTGCAGATTTTGAAATTTGGAAACCATTTTAGAGTCAATTTTAAGGTACAACTTAAAAACTCGTATATGAATAAATTAATTTTCTAAATGCAAAAATATGTAGGAAATGAATATTAAGTTGAAAATATAAATATCTAAAAGATGCATGGCTGCAATCTTGAAAAAGGGTCAGTTACTCTATTTTACGGTTTTAGACTAATCAATTCAAATTTTTGTTTGAATTTAAACATATTTATTTTACAGTTTTAAATGCCGAGCCTAAAATACAGTGAAATTGACGCTAAACTGTTGGTCAATTTGGAACCAACAACAGACAAATGAATTTGGCCATTTTTAGAAAAAGGTGAAATTTATATGATCAATTATAATTATTTATAAGTGGATAATCGTGTGTGAAAGGAATGCTTTGACGTTCATCCTGTGAACTTTTCATTAAAGATAAATGTTATTGTTACAGTAGTGAGCTATATTCTACTATATTCACTCATAGCTTAATTTGTAATCTATGCTTGCTGTATGTGTTGAGCTATGCTTTATTATATACGAATTATCATAAACATTCGTAGATTATCATAAACATTTGTGGATTATCATTTAACATTTGTGGATTATCATCAAACAGTATTGGATACACTATAGGATTACGATGAATATTACTGGATTATTATAAACATTGGAGAACTATTATCAATTAATGAAACGTTTTGTGATCTGGAACATTCTCAACGATCTTCAGGGATAATTATCGACATCAAGAGAGACAGGCATATCACGTATTGGACATCTATATCTACATCTACTTAATCTAAAGGGGGTATTAGTCATTGTATCTTTTCACGTGAGACCATGGTTTTGGGATATATGGGGTTTGTTTTTCTTGACTGGTATGCACTTAGAGTTTGCCTTTTCTTGCTACGTTTCATTTCAACTTTTGGTCCTTTCCCTTTGGCACTTATGCTTAGATATCTACGTCTACTTCACTTGAGTATCAACTCTTATTTTATATATTAATGTTATCTCATTTTGTTTTTCAAAAATATAGTGCTTTACATTGTTATATTTTAATTGCTGTTTTTACTTTTTGTTAGTATCGAACGTAACATTATTAAAATGTAACAAGAAAAAAGGGGCGTGACAATTGTTCTGTTCCGGCTACTACTTACGAATTTTATCCCCAAATCCGCTGCCACAGACATCACAACTCTTTGGACATTTCTTTTGATAATGACCCGTTTCACATTTTTCGTCGTCGAATGCAGCTAATGGGCAATAACGACTCCCGTCCTTACACTCTGAAACCAAAACATCTGTCAAAGATTTGGGAAATAACCGAACTACCGATATAATAATTAAATAACATCAATATATTATTCCAATCTGAAAATTCAAAATAATGAAATATAATAACTGAATTTCCTCTTCGTTTTCTTTGTTTTCTTTTATAATTTTAAACATGTTCTAAGATGACGTCGGGCGTCGTCGGGCGTCGTCGCGACTTTCCGACTTCATCCCCAAGACAACTCATTTCCTGGACAACTCATCAATAATCATTATATATAGATTAGCTCACTCAAATATATGCCAGTATATTGTTTATCCCTTAATCTTATAATAAACCATAACATTCAGGTAATGTTATCAGTTTGATAAACAATTTTTCACACGTGTCTGCCACTTGCATGTTATTCCATTGATTGTAAAGTTATGTCAATTGTTACTGAACGATTTTCAAAAAATTAATGTATTATATTTTTTATCTCTGGTAATATGCTTAAGATTCAAATAATTTCAACTATGTATACCCTATTATCCTAAGATATATGTATTTGTGTAGAAGCAGTTTTCTTTCAAGAAAAACTGTAGACTTTAGTGTAGTGTGTTAAAGGATGAGTTGTTCAGGGCAGGGGATGAGTTGTCTTTGGGTCGAGCTTTCAATGGATCATGAGTTGTCTAGAAATGAATTGTCCAGTTACCCGTCTGCACAAGGGTTAAAAGGTTACAACTTTACTTTGAAGTACTGTCAATAAGGTCGGCCCGTTAATATGCAATTGCCCACTGCGGCAACCTTGCACCTGCCTTGGTATTTATCAAGAAATATTCCCTCCGTAGGGACACACGGTGACCATAGTTTCTTCTGTCTTCACCAATTAGAAATTCTCTATCATGAGATATAGTGCACGTAATCGTAGGAAAGCTATATCGAATAGACCACCTGATGTTACACAGATTGTTGGACTTTGGGGTTCTTTTCTCTCGTTTAGCATATTCAAAGACACATCGACTTTAAAAATAGTGTTAACCCACCTATCTCCCCAGTGTCTATACAAAGGCCACAGCTCTTCTTGCATTTCTTTTTTATCATTGCACTACATTTCAAACGGTTGAATTCCTTCATTCGACTACACCAACGACCTCCACTGTCCCTGCAAACTCGTGGTTTAGGTTTATCCAGTGTCAGTAGCCATCGTTTGTCAGGGATACCTAAAAAGAACATTATTTTTGGAAAACTTTAGGGAATATTTAAGCCTATCATTTATTCCGATTCAAACATAGAAATGAAAACATTGTACAGAGAATTGGGGATCAGGGGTCCAGAAAATAATAAAACTTGCTGTTATTTTCAACATTGATAGGTGTGAGGTCACAATACAGTGCATATAAAAAAAACACAACAGATTGTTATCTCGGAAAAGCACAAAACCAGTGATAAGAGCATTGATTTATATTAATTCAATGCACCATAAAGCCATGTGTCTCCTCTTTACAATGATATACCATTCATTGATATTTGGTCATGGTTGGGTGAGTAATCATTCCATTTGCAAAGTGGGCCAAAATTAGCTTGGGACCAAGTTATAAACATCGCAAAAGTCAGTGTTCGGAGCCCGATGCAATATTGGAAGAAAACATAAAACAAATGCTGACTGCATCCTTTTCATTCAATGTACCAAAAAGCCAAATTACTCCTCTTTGCAATGGAATATAATTCATTCACAGGGAATCATCTCTGGTCGAATAATCATTAATTTTGCAAAGTGGGGCAAAATTCAGCTCCGACCCAAGTTTAAACATTGCAAAAGTCAGTACAAGGGGCATAGGGGCTATTGGAAGAAGGTGTGACAGGTGTGGCATAGACAGTAAAGTGTTCATACTCATACTCTTGCAAGAATACATCCTATACCCCTCCAAATTGCCACCACTTCCTTGCACATAAAGATGCGATGTCCACGTCATGTATGGTTCAGCCTGAATCATCTGTGGGTTAAAGCAGAGAAAAGCAGCCCATGGGCAATTCTTTCTCGAGGTTTTGCAATATCTGGTGGAGGAATTGTGAACACAGATGCTCCTGAGATAGCTCCAAAAGAAAAAGTCACAACAATTCAAGTCAGGGGAACTTCCATTGGCACTTAGCCCTTGCACTGATTCTTTCAATATCTAAAACTTGGCCCAGAGCCGATTTTGACCCACTTTGCAAATGGAAGGATTTCTCACCCAACCATTACCACATGTGAATGAATGACATATAATTGCAAAGAGGAGAGACGTGGCTTTACGGTACATAGAATGAAATTGATGTAGTCATCAGTTGTTTTGTGATTTTACGAGATAACTACTTGTTGCGTTTTTTATACGCCCTGTATATAGATACCCGGATGATTGAATAGAGCACGGTCCAGAAATAGAAAACTTTCTATAATGGCTATGCTGCATTCTGATTGGTTGAGAAATTTATGTTTGAATATTTCCTAAAACACCTAGTCTTGAAAAAACTGGAGCTTCGTATGCTGGAAAATAGAAATAATGAAGGGCATGTTAAGGTTGTATTTACACGTTATACATCTTACTGTAACTGCATTAAATCGATATAATAATCAGCGTAAGACCGCATTTGTATTTTGTAATATTTTATATTTTATTAAGAAAACCTCAAATAACTTGTTGATGCCGTTTTTATCATGTTGATAGCGCCAATCGGTGAAATAAATAAAACATGAAAAAGGATGGGTATCGATATGGCGAACTTTTTGAACACACCCTGACAGAGGGCATTTTTGTCAAAGTCAAAGGATTGGCACCGATATGGAGAGATATGGAAAAAACACGGTACTTTATGTAATGTAGACTGATTGACAACAATTGAATGCGAAAACAATTTTTATATATTTTATATAAGTGTTTTTGTTGACATTTTTTTGTGTTTTACTGCAATTGTTTTTTGTTCCTTTTTATCATCTCTTGAGAATTAAATAAAATATATTTCCGAAGCTTGTTTGAACAAAAAAGCATATACAACATTTTTTAGACTTCCCAATATTATATTTGTTCAAAGGAAAGTTTGGTTGATTTTACAAAAAGGTATTCAGAAAATTAAAACAAAATCCCCAAAATAGATAATAACTAAGATAAACCATTAATTTCATTTAAGAAGATACTTTTTTAAATCAACCAAACTTTCCTTTGTATAGTTACAATATTGAGACAACAACACGTTGTGTTTATGTCAGTTTTGCTCTAATGTGGTACGGATTAGGATAGATATTTCATTTCATTCCGAATATATCGTATGATACCAACAACAAAAGAAGTGTCCGATGTGTTTTCTAGAACAGTATAGAGGAACGTATTGTTACCATTCATAGTTGTGTTACCATTCACAAGATGACCTTTACATTGACAATGTGTAAAATTTTTAAGTTCAAGAGAAATGTGTGTTCAAAAAGTTCGCCATATCGATACTGCACGACATCACATTACTAAAATTAAATATCATAAGGGGGGGGGGTTATTTCACATTACAAAGATTATTAAAAATAATCGATGTTAGTTGAAACAATTTTCTTCATTCAATAGTAGTTTACTTACCAACAGGCTCGCAAACTCCACATGTCTTCATACATGCTGCCTTTACGGCCGATCTGCTACAATCCATTTCACCCAACCTTTTATAAAGAGCGCAACTCGTAAATTGGTCCTCACAGACTGAAGTAAAGTAAACGCACGTCGATCGTAAGGCATATGGAAAATGGCATATGATAACGTTGTATGCTAATGCTGTAGATCGCATTCAGTAAATAGGTCCTTACAGACTGAAGTAAAGTAAACGCGTGTCGATCGTAAGACATATGGAAAATGGCATATGATAACGTTGTATGCTAATGCTGTAGATCGCATTCAGTAAATAGGTCCTCACAGACTGAAGTAAAGTAAACGCGTGTCGATCGTTAGTATCTATTTAAAATTTAAAAGGTATAGTAATATATCTTACTCACCAATTGGCTTATACTCCCTGGCTGTACAAAAATTACAGCTCTTATTGCAGTAATCCATCAAGGGAGAATCGCAGTACAAATTGTCCTTGTCCTTAGATACAACGCAAGAGAGAAACTCGTCTTTGCAGTCTAAAGAAAATATAACATTCAAATTACCCAGATGCGATTAGGTAGTTACCAGTTTCACCACCAGATGGCTAATTCGGATTAATTAACATGGCAGGTATGTAAGCAAGTTCCCCGGCCCTTAATATTAAATATTATCAGTTTAAGTTAATTAATTTTCATATAACCCTTATGTGTCTGATAGTTAAATGAACAAAAATATGTCCAGTAAAAATGTTTTATTTGCCCAACACAAGAAAAGATGTTTCACATTTTGTGGTTTTGTAACATTGAAGACATTGAAGTCACATTTTCAAAGGTTTGATTTTCATTTAAGTTGGCAAATTCTTTTTAAACCTCATTTCTAGATGCACATTTACACTAGACTTCAAATATGATATCCTATTAACCGATTAACCAAATTTTGAATATTTAATGAAGTTAATCAAGATTATTTTTACATGTATTTTCATTACACTTCCCTCCGAAAGTCTGGCAACCGAAGGTCAAATTTCGGACCACGTATCAAAAGGGAATAGCGAGCAAATATTTTATTTATATATGTATGTATATGTATACATTTGATAAGTACTTTCTTAGCAACTGATGGACAAAATTCATTGAAAATTTAGACAGAATAGCCCAAGAGAAATGTTAGCAAGGTACAACGATAAGAAAACGATCAAGGTGAATGTTATATGAGAACTAAGGAATCTAAGATAGACTGTCAAAAGATCCCACAAGGGAGCAACACAATAGAAACTGTATAGCGTGTGTACCAAAAAACGAGAAGCAATTTTCAGCAATAGATAGCCCAATTCTTTGAAAGTGTTACCGATGGCATTTTAGGCGATCTTCTGCTAGTGCTATGAATATGTAAGAGATTGGTCACATATTATTTGTGTATTTTTGATTTAAAGACAGTATGTCAGGACAACCAATATTAATGTAAAAGTCACTTATTAATCCAAACTACTGAGCAAAAATACTTTTCTGTATTTATTCCTACAATATCACCTCCAATGATTTTTTAGAATGAATGGATTTTGGATATTTGGGAAGAATGAAATGAATTAATTTGACATGACACGCAGACAAGCTATTTTGTCTGATTGACAGATGCTATCACCTAAATTAACTGTTACAAACACTATAGAGGTCTCATCGTGGAGCCCCGGGATGATAATATATGACATGTTATGTTGAATATCTTATTACCCACAGATCATTTACAACTTGCTAACGATACTTTTAGGCTACTTTGTACAATTGAATCAATGAATTTCGTTCATCAGTTCATCTAATCTTTTGGGACACCTGATATTTATATTATTTATTTAAGTCTCACATGTCTCATTGACATCACACCACCTCAGGTCACCTAATCATTGGTCTCCAAGCCCTAAGGACCTTAAGTTACTAAATACCTTTATATACCTTTGACCTAGGAATGATGTTGACCTAAGGTCACCTAATCATGGGTTGTCAGGTCACAGCAGCCCCCAAATGCATTTAAATGCCAAATACTTTGGTCAGTCAAAAAGTTCTGTTTATTTATTTATCTCTAACTTTGTCATTTTGAGGATTTATTTCTTGATATTTGGTACATCTATAGAACATATATTTGCGCAACTATTGGCTAAATATTGTATCTCAACTATGATTGGTTATTGAATTATGGTTGCTATGGTAACAGAAATGCGGGGTACACGGTTCAGCTAAAAAACATCTAATTTTTAATGTCACATTAATTTCATTTGGCTTCAATTCATTGAAATTCATTTAACAGTTTTTCATGTTAAAATATCAGATTTGGCAAATTGACAGGTTTTGATGCCTATTCTATTGCCTCGATGACATCACAGTCAAGGAATTATTCAATTGTGACAATTTTCAGCTGACATAGATGATTTTCAGGATGAAAAGATGAAAAGGGGATTTTGAGAAAAAATCATGTCAAATATTGATTCTCCTAGCAAGTTGTTAAAGTGGAAGCAAAGTGTATGGTAGAAAACAGGAAAACACTACAAGAGACATATTCACTTGTTAAAATTGCTTTTGGACAGAACGCTCCAAGATATAATACTGTCCGTAGATGTCTAAAGAGGGGTCTTCGGGGGATCCCGTTTGATTCCGATGAGGCTCTGCGGGCAGCGGTGCGCAAACGTTTAAATGAATTGTCGGCTGGCGGTTTTAAAGGGGTCTTCAGAGACTGGGTAGAATGGCACCGAAAGGTTATTGCTGCATGAGGCGACTATTTTGAAGGCTAAATAACTAAATTAAACTTAAATATGACATCGGAGACTTACCTGTAGTTAGAAAGGAGTTTTTGAATATTGAGACAGTTTAAAGTATATTTCATGTAATATAACAGTGTATGAAAATCAGTAATATTGGGTTGAACCGAGTACATCGCTCTTCTGTTACCATAGCAACTATTATTCAGTAACCAATGATAGTTAAGATACAATGTTTAGTCAATATTTGCACAAATGTATGATCTATAGATGTACCAAATATCAAGAAATAATTCCTCAAAATGAAAAAGTCAGAGATAAATAAACAGAACTTTTTGACTGACCCAAGTACTAAGATATTGACCTCAAGTCACCTAATCAAAGGGGGACAATGGTCATCAGAATGCATTAAAACGCCAAATATCTCGATTTTAACCTTCGACCTATGAATGACCTTAACCCATAAAGTTGACCATGACTTCAGGACACATAATCATGTGTTGTCAAGGGTCATGTCGAGTAGGGATTAGGGAGACGAGTAGACGATTTTATTTTTATAACAATCTAAGGGTCTTAAAACGTCAAATACCTAGATATTGACATTTTACCTTGAAATGACCTCTGGTCTTCATAGAATGCCTATCGAGTCACTAAGTGTGTTGATCAAGTATAAGGGCCGAGGTTAAATGGTCCTGGAGGAGATGTCCGGAGAGGCAGACAGACAGACAATCGTGCTTTATAGTAAGAGGAAGATGCTCAAAATTCGAAAACATGCCAAAATCACCTGATAAAAATCAGCAAACGTTTACCGTTTGAGCTTTTTGAAAGAGATTGTCAAAATCACAACTCCAGAAGCATTGGCTAGCAAGAGGGGGCTCATTTGGCTCGTGTTATTTGATTGGTTCGTTGAAACCGTTTTTCGTCGTGCGAACGCCCTTGCACTTTTTATAAAATCAAAGCAAGGGAAAAAATGGAATACCCCCTTGGTTAATCCTGGCAACGGAGAAATGAATGAAAGAATAAGGTGGGTGATTAGAGCCATAATACAAGATATCAATGGGCATGTAGTCGTCAACTCCACCAGTGCACTTAAGTTATAGCATCCAGAGGCTAGACTGGCATTTTGAGGATGTTATGTAAAATAGACATGAAATCGTGGTCACTTGAAATAGACCAATGGCACTTGGTAGAATGGAAAAAGCATTGAACAAAGTTCAATTGTGCCAAATATGAGTTTAAACCCCCCGAGGATACGGAGTTATTAACATTTGTGAAGGTTACCTTTTTGGCTCAACATGCATATGGATGTCGCATTTTAGAAATACCAAGTTTGGCTCATAACATATTGTAGAAAGGGGGACAAAAACCGGTTTTCGGTATTAATTAAAAAAAAGCAAATTGAATATGACATACTATCAATTTAGCAAAAAGGATATGTTACTAAGGCCAAAGGGGCATAAGATTTTAAACTGTTTGTTTTGAGCTATTAATTTTACCTCAATACATCAATATCAATGTTTTTAGCTGGTAAAATGTCAAAAAGTTTAGTTTAAAACTAGACAATGTGTTTATTTTTGCTCACCCTAAAAATGCCAAATGGATATATTCCGCCTTGGGCATTAAGAGTGAATTATTCATTTTGCAAAACGCTTCATTTGATGTATAGAATGGTATTTCTGCTATAGTTACTTCCAATTTATGTCAAAGAGAACCGAATATAGAATCGTTCAACAGACCTTTGATATGACCTTTGACCTTTGATTATCAAACTTGTGAAGTTATTTGGATTCAAAGTGCAAAAATCAAAAACGGAGGTAAGAATTGCTCTTAAAATGATAACAATAGAAATGAAAAATGATAGATTATTGTACAATTCTTTAATATTCTTAAAATAAAGTAAGCACTTTTGGGATTCTTAGACAAAAGACAACAAAAAAGGTATGAGCCCAAAATGGTCAAAAATCAAAACAAATTTTTAATTTTAAGTATTTAAGTTCGACATACCTTCAGCGGAGGATCCAATAGCCAGCAGGGCAAAGATGGCGAGTGTCCATGTAAAGCCTTCCATCGTAGAGGTATTTCTAAAATGCATCTGAGAAAAGCCAAGCGAGTTCGCAAATATGTAGGTTTTTGTGTATGTTAAGTGTGCATAGCGGCGTAAAATAGAAACATTTGCCAAAGGTAACTGACTAAAAGTTGTTACAGCACATAACAAGAAAAATAAAACATTTATGAGAAAACCAGTCGAAAACAAAACACATAATCGTACCAAATGATCCAACATGTAAAGGAACAGTGTCTGAAAATCCCTCCTCGTGGAAGTACCATTATAACAATCCAAGTTAAGGAACAAATAATAGGTTACTGACTTTAATATTATACGAGGGTCGATTCATATAATCTGATAAAAATGCTCTCATTTTAATAGTGATTTTTCATATATCCCTCTTATTCTTGCAGAACGTGTAGATTATGAAATAGTATAGCTACATAATAAGGTTGTAATAATATGAGATAACGCTGTAATGGTAACCTGTATTTAGTGTAAAGGGCCAGTTAAATCATAACATAAAATGGATATTTTTTTCAATTTTTCAATTTTCAATATTTCAATCCTCGTGTCTGCAGGAGGGAGTCAACCCAATCAATAGTACTTTTCGCCTTTTATTTTGCGTCCCCATTATTGTTCAGCTTGAGCCGAAATAAAATATACTTTTTGGCGTAAAAACAAGGTGATGGGGGTATATGGGCATAGTTATAATCGTTGGAACTTGATGCCAACAAAATTGTTATTCATAAAATATTGAACAAATATTTCACTCTATTGAGGTGAATACCTGTACATCTTTCACAAGTGATATTCCACGAAGCCCGAAAATAGAGTGAAATATTTGTTTTATTATATCACTGTCTAGCTAAACATCCCTAATATTATTAAGTCATTAAGTCTTCAGATATTTTTACGAATCTACTCGGTTTGTCTGCCATTTTGACTTAAACTGAACTAAATTATTTACACTGATTAGCATTGCCATTGAATATCGCCAGATATCCCAGGACATGTGACCCGGTTTTGACCAATCATACTGTCGCTAGCTAGATAGTGATATAATAATGATTGTTACTTTATTTCAAATACTCTGGAAAATACAAAAATATGATAATTGCTATGTTGATAGATAATGATTTGGCATATTGAATGTGCTTTATTTCATAAAAATTGGGCCACTTTTGTGATATTCTCCATTGACTAAACAAAGGGGAGACCACCATGCATGTCCATATACTATCATCATTTCGACCATAAAACACCGCCGAGTCGCAATCAGTATAAGTGTGCTATTTGGAATATGTATAGATGCAATTTTAATTTGTTACAACTAGGATGCTTGAACAGGAGACCTTAACCGAGTCCTTTATGAAGATTGTGCATACCCCTTATAATCTGATAAAACGCGTTACAAATTAAAGATACATGACAGGAAAATGTGCCATTGTTGGATTTTGTTTCATTGAATTCATAATTAATTGGTGTTAATTGAATAAATAAACATGTACTTTTAAATATCTTTAGATGGTCTTCATTTTCTGAATTTATTATCATGTGAATGTAATATAACAACCCCATCGTATTTCAAAACAACTCTATTCAAAATGTGGTGTGTATTTTACTTTAACAATGGCGTACGTCTACGTTGTGCCAAGTACACTAGTTTACTGGCACGACTGCAATAGTAATATAACAAAGAAAAAATTGGAAGTATTTCATGTGTCTCCCTTTTCAATATTGCTTTTCATTATATATTATTTTGAATAAGATAAAGTAAGTATAATATGTAGTATGATACTATTGCAATGGAGTTAGAAGCATGTTGCGACGAAGTCAAACGAATAATACTGATTTTGCATCAATATTAAGAAGGCGAAACTTGTTCTGAAATGACAAATACTTTGCGATGTCATTAATGGTCGGGAACATAGGTTGTGGGCTCGATTTAACTTAGAGTTTATAAAACTAAGTCCGAATATTACTTATATCCGCTGTCCATGTTTTTGCCAAGTTTATGAACTATGTAGAGTTTGCCAATATATTATCAGTATGTCATGTACCATGCCGTTGTAAAAGGGTAGGAGGTCCTATTAAAGTATGGTCCTACTCTCCATTGATTTATATGGTGACCTAAATATACAACTCTTTGCCTCATTATCTTATACAAAATCAGGGCCAGTAAGGACCGTTAAGAAAGGGGACCATAATCCCCGGGGGACCATCATTTCTTTTACACCGGTGTAAAAGGGTAGGAAGTCCTTTCAATATATGGTGACCTCCTTCCCTTATTATCTTATACACAATGAGGGCCAGCAAAGGCCTTTAAGAAGGGGGACCATACTTTCTTTCACACCGGTGTCAGAGTAAATATAGTCTCCATGAATATATGGTCCGGGGGACCATACATGTACACCCTAGGACAATAGGACAATAAACAATATAACCCAGGACTATGTACGTTAACGGACTATAAATACGTTGACAGCAGTGAACGAAGGGATTATCCGGCTAGATTTTGGTCCTATCTGTTATCTTTAATTTTGAATATATAGATGCCGTACTATAGTAGTACTGTAATATGTACTTATTTGTCTTATTAATGAATTAAAAAACACGCTAATCTTTAATATAAATCCATGTACAGGAGACTATAATTTCTAGTTAATTCTGTCCCTGGGACAACTTATTTTTAATTTTCTATATGTACATGTCCAAGCGGACTATATTTTCTGGTTGCCCCTGTCCCCGAGACAACTTATCCTTACTTTTATTTGTAGTTATATATGTCCAGGGAGACTATGTCGTCTACTTACATTTGTCTTTGAGACTATAAAAACTGGGCAGTATAGCCCCATTTGTAATATATAAAATTTAAATAATATGTGAGCATATTGTCATGTATAATTGCACTTACTGACTTGAATCATTACTAGAGATATAGCACCACGGGAATCATCATCCGTTTGTTTTTTTGTTTGTGAAAGAATAAATTCCCATGTAGTATTATACGAACGGTCTTGTACATGTATGCCAATGAATATACAGAGACTTCATTTATATACATGTCCGTGAACATTTATATCCAGAAAATATGGTCCGGTGTGACTAGTTTGACATTTATACCATGAAAATATGGTCCGGTGTGACTAGTAAGAGACCATAATTTGGTATTGAAAGTCCGCACCGGACACCGAGTGCTAGCAAATGGACTAAAATATCTAAGGAAATATATCGCCTTGTTATTCTAGATAATATAGTTCAGGACAATATTTTCCAGGATATATAGTCTAAGGGACCATATTTAGAACGGTCTATATAAACGTTGACACCGGATTCATCTTAAGGTGCCCAATTAAAATGAACTCTGAGGTTCAAACTCAATGTATTTTTGTGTAACTGTCCTTCAGTGTCCATACATGTACAAGTAAACTTATATCTCAAATATATGTAAATAGTATTGTATTTATACAGGCGTATCATAATGATCGTAGTATAAAACACAAAGTGTTGTCGATGAACTAAAGGACTTTAAATAGATGGCGGAGAAATCAGTGGGTTTAATTTATATACGATAACATAATCAAAAACTTCCTAAATTAAATTTCAAGAAAAAAGTTGATGATATGATGAGAAAATAATTGATTCATTTGCTGTACATTCGAAATGCTTAGACAGCAACTATTTACACATAAACCAATGGGGCATGTGCGAAGAACAATCCATGAGGAAAAAATAATAAACTCTCATCAAAAGGGTGTCAATTTGCACAGTGACCCCCTCTCAATAGCCAATACCACAAACAGGGGGCAGACACCCACGCAAATTATATATCAAAATAAAGCTTAATATTTTATTTTGGATGATTAAATGCCTAATTGTTCAAAGGACTGTGAGTTGTTTGTAGAATCAATCGGGGGAGTTTTTTCATGCATTTCGCTTTTGTTTTTCATCTCAAAACATCAATACACTTTAAAACATTTAATTGACTATAAGATTGCACCATATAATCCCAAAAAGTCTTATTTTCAAGGATCATCGATTGATTACCACCCAGGTGTTTTCATTTTCAAACTTCTGAGGCCTTGGAATCATTGATTAAGAACGTTTTTGAATAATATAAATGCTGTTTTAAATAGGTTTCATGTACGCTACTAATTTCTAAATTTCTACAAAAAAAATCAAGCACTGCTAAGGATCTTCTAGAATTTTTTAACGTTATCAGAAAACTAAGTGTCTGTCCAAGCAAATAAACACGAAATGAAACATAAAATCCTTTATGTATTCCTCAGATTGATCTTTTAAAACCTACAGCAAACCTACATCATAGTTTTTGCTTCAAATCATCTTCCTCCCTTTCGTTTTCTACCAATGTACTATTCAAGTAGACCTTTAATCAACAATGCACTGGCATTATTCAAAAAAAAATTACCATTACACCAGTAAGGCCTGTATACGACGGCATTACTGAATATATAGTTTGGGGTATGTTTAGGCTCTCCATCGTATCACAAAAACACAAATTCATGATTAAGTTTGAATCAAAATTAAGTTTATTAGTGCCAAAAATAGATTACATTTTTTGGGGTGAATCCAAACGACGCAACGAGGTTCTGAGGTTTTAGTGCTGAACCAGCTGCCTCTTTCATTTCCCCAAATTTTAGGTGGGTGGGCAGGGCCAAAATAAGAGGTCTTATCCCATAAAAATAATTACTTTCGCCCCAAAAAATAAGTCTGATATTTTAATTAAAAGTAAATAAAAAATAATGATTACTGCACACTTGGTATTGACAAACTCAGATGTTTACAAGAAATGTGAGAATTAGAAGATGTTGGTGAGAAAATATATTTCGACAAACATCCGAACTTCGTTTGGTAGAATCTCGATGTTCAGTTTATTATCCCATTTAGTTCATTATCTAATAAGAGTTAAAAATACATATTTATCGGTTAATTATATCATTTGAAAGTACACAATTATTCATTAATTGAAATGTAGATTACATGTATAGACACCTGTAAAGTACGTGTTTACGATGACATATTAACATAATTTTCAGTACACGGTTCTATAAGATTATTATTATATACATGTATATTGTTATTATCGATTAAACATCAATAGTTTGTTGTTCTATTAATGAGAGTGAGGAATACCGATGACACCTTCAGAAGATGATATTCAAACAGCCCTTCGGGTTTCGTGGACTATTACTTAAGAAAGATGCACATGTATTCAACGAAAATAGAATAAAATATGTACGGTATACTATTATAAGAATACGAATAATGCTTTGTCCAACGTTTACCAAATCCGTTAAATCTAATCAAAGTGGTATCACTTTCAAAACTTCAAGTACATTAATAACGATAAGCCTGTGTACGATGCCATGTATGTACTCCCTCTCTAAACGTATACATGTAGCATTGCCACCCTATCATGTTATATACCATTCTGGTCATTGTGAAAAGTTACATATGATTGCAAAATTGATCGCATGTCTGTGACAGTTATGCACAAAGATATATTGCCATGATTTATACAATGGCTTATAAGGAAGCCAGGCACCGTGATACCATATTTATCACAAAAATTGGATGTGGACAAAGTGAATATATCACTGGACTGGGTCCAAAAATGCTCATAGGGTACTTATAAATGACCCCGTACCCGCATACTTTAATATATAGTATCTTTTTTCAGGGACACCCCTTGATTCCGAAACTTTGCAATCTTATGTAACTTGCCATATGTGACAAAACGATATATAACATGATAGGGTGGCAATACTACATGAATGAGTTTAGATGGGGTGCATGAATATGAAACACCCTATATATGTTCCGTTCTCCTAATATACGAATTTTATATACCGCTATCATATACATAAAACCTCACTTGTCATAGGACAGATACATATAACTAAGACCTAAACTCCGGACTGTCAATTCCCTCGCTGGTGTCAACGTATTTACTGTCCATCATAAATTGTTTGGGGAAATATTTTATAGTAATGTAGAACACAAAGTCCGAGGAAGACCCGTTGGACCTTAGCAATTGTTTTGTATTGTCCCCAAGACTATATATTTAGGGAGGAGTCGGTGTTGGAGCCGATTTTTCGAATTCTATACAAAACTTAGCCCTACATCCTTTAGCTACCCATATGTCACCGGTGCCAGCATCAAAGCCCCATTTATCGTTCCTACATTTCGTCCTGAAAACAAAAGAAAATGTCAGATCATAGAGGAAACATAAAATTATAAGATAGACACACGACTAAATTCAAACAAAAAGACACATATAGTCACAAGCCTGTCAATTTAACCAATACGTTTTTGCTTTAATTATGCTCTATTTGGCTAATTAAGTTACATTTCTTTTTTCAGTTTTTACGACGTTTGATCTGTACATACAGAAATGTTACAATATTTCTAGTAAATAAGTACCCAACACATGAATTGCTTTACAAGACCGTTCATTTCTAAGAAACTTAGATGAACTTTTGGGAAAATGAACTTTAATCAATGGTACTATTCCTTATCTCACCTTGACATTTGTGTCGTTACTATTGGAGGGCCGGAAAAGTTCATTTCACGAAGGAAGGCTGCATCATCGAACACAGAACACGTGACGTTTCGCCATCTTACGCTTGAACACGAGAAGCAGTGGGAACCTGGCGACAAAAATATACTTATGTTCATTGGAGTACCACTTGGAGTATGGTTTGCGGCTACTACTTGGATAATGGTCACGTAAGATATGGGGACAATGAAAGCTGATTTTCCGGCACTTATACGATTTCTTTGCTCTAAAACCCACCCGGCCTTCGACCTTCACCTTCGACCTTCAACCTTCGACTTATTAGGTATTTAGAAGTTATTGAAATATAACGTTATAAAAACCCATCGACCTACAAACTATTAAGTTCTTAATCAATATTCGTAAGTTTTATACTCACAGTGATGTGTGTAGTAAATGATATGTCCCAGGTGAGGTGAAAACAGTTAATGCATTCAAGCAAATAATTTCTATCGACCACTTCTTACCTCCTCCATTGAAGAGTACAAAAATGCGCAAATGGGATTTGGAGGGGGGCAATCTGCGCAAGGTTTCGTTTTTTGTTCGGTTTTACTGCGCATGATCATTAGATCCATTAGATTCGATTTGTTGAAACTATTGAAATGCATGCACCATCTTTTACCGAAATAAGAACACTCATTTTGTAAATTTTACAGCAGTCCCTTCCCAAAATGATTTCAACAAAAGCGTCATGACAGCATATCAATTGTGCCTAAATGTATACGTTCGGTATAGAAACTAAAACTGGGAATGATCAGAGAAAAGCTATTCAGGAATCATTGGAATTAAAAACCTCCATTCATGAGCATGCACAAAAATTTGAGCAAAAATGAAACAAAGCGCAGATTGCCTTCGTATTGGATAGATGAGTTCTTTCTTTATATAATATTTACCTTAAAGGAATCCAACACCTTGCAAAACTTCTTAACGGAGAGGAATAAGGGAAAATGCTTGCCGGATTCTGAATCTGTGTATTTTTTAATGATTTTTCACCGTCTTAGAATTTCAATTTTTTTCCTTTGAAAAAATGAGATTTGCATTGTTTTCCAATTAGACAAATGAGTAAACATGAATAGCCCGAAATCTAACGGTGAGATTTTGTTTTAAAAAATCATGGATATCAAGGCTAAATATAGCTATACAATAAACATAAAAAAGCAATGCTTGGACTCTTCATATTCACACAAAAAATTAATTAGTAAATGAGGTTTGATATTTGTGAGAATAAGTTGTACGAGTCGCAATGCTCTACAAACACCAGACTACAGGGTGGATTAGGATCAATGACACACATAAAAATTGATTTAAAAACATTTCATGATAATTATCTCAAACAAAAGCAGTTAGCGAAGGATACATTTCATTACACTCAATAAATAGTTATCACTTTTGACTATATATACATATCTCATGGGAATGTATTTCCATCTGCTCAAGATATCATATTTTAGCTTCGAAAATCACAATCGTTGGATAATACATTTGTCTCAGAATGATAGGCCACCCTGTAGCAATGTAGCTTTCACTTGAAGTGTACCCTTGAGAATAATGAACTTACCCTTAGGAAAAAACCCATGTTTTGACATGCGTGGAGAAAAAGGGTACATGTTCTCACTTAGTTTTACACACTTTTACCTCAATCCTCCCATGTGTGGCATGGAAAATTAGGTAAAAACAGGAGATGGCATTCTTGTTTTTACACACTTTTACCTCAGGGAAAAATGTGGGTGACTGTGGAAAAATGTGGGGAAATGAAGTAACTCTCATCTTATTTTTACTTAACTTCCCCACATTTTTCACACTGTGGAGGAATGTGGGAAAGGGTAGTTACATGGTTTTACATGCATTGTAGCACATCTTAGAGAAAATAGAGGGACTTAAATATGCTCTAATATTTACAGTTGTTTTATTTACATATGGTATAATTCTCAATAAGCCTTATATAATAATAATCTTTCAGAGCTCATCGAACATTAGCTGGTAACATTATTAATTAATGACTATAATATGTGCATGTTTATAGTTTGCATCAAATACTTTATTTTATTAACATTCTTCATTTAACATTTAAAATACAAAAATTGATAAATGTTTTTCATTCATATACTACTATCTGTGGCCTCCCTTGGCAAAAGCTGGGTATATAAGGCTGGGGAGGCATCAAAAGTTCAATGTCTGTTTAAAACTTACTAATTTAGTTTTACCTTAATTATGAAATTTCAAAAACATTGATTTTGTTGGATGGAAAACTTTTCAGTTATGACCCCCCCCCCCACCCCCAAACTTAATAAGTTAAGTTTCTAAACAGACATCGATATTTTGATGCCTCCTTAAGGCTTTAATTCTTACATGTACAAAAGTATATAATATGCATTTGGATATTCTTGCAGGATGTGGTTATTGAAATCAATCATATTTTAATATTTGAGAACTGCAAATGAGATAATTTCTCAAAGGTTTGAACAATATATGTAATGAGATACTTCAGGACGTTTGACAGCTGGAATAGCAGACATCAATAGGCGTACTCCAGAACAATTGGATTTGGCTTGAGATGTACCAAAAATAAGACATTGCAACATGTATCCTGTGAGATGTCTTGTGACTACACATATCTCAGCTGATTGACAGTGAGTATTTATTCCAGAGAATATTAGAATATTTTAATCAGGATCAGATTTTGACAAAATAAAAATACACAAGATTACTTTGTGATTCATTGATGGCAGTCAAACATCTTGTACGCTTCCTGTTTAAAATCAAAAATGCTTCAAGTTGGCGAAAATGTAAGTTACCTTTAATCTCTAAAGCAATCAATTTTTAAAAATGATTGATTTCATAGGGATGATCTGGAAATATTTAAACTGCTTATTGTAGAAATTTTCAAATATAACACTCAAGATTCTACAGTTTCTGTGTTTTTTTTTTATTTTTCACCATTCCCTAGATTGATCTTAGTTAATCAGGCTATAGGCAAGATTAGTACTGACTTTTTAATCAGAAAAGTTGAGTGTCTCTTTGTTCTCATAAAATTGAATGCAGGTATTTGGAGGTAAATTTGTCACTCAAGTTTTTGGCATAAAAGTTCCTTTTGCTAAATATATTTTCAAATTGATGTCTGTAAAAACTTGAAACTAAATGCTACGTTATTTCACTTACCTCTTATTGATTCTCCAAACATATTCTTTTAAAATCAAATTTGTTATTCTGTACCATTTTGACCAATAATTGTGTTGCTATTAGAAACAGTCGATTGTGATGTTGGGTCATGGACCAGTCCATTAAAATGGTAGTGGTGCCAGGTTGAAATTGATGTGATTTGTGGTAACGTGACTACATATTAATGGTCATGCAGAAAAGAAATGTGATGCAAAACTCATGTTTCATAATAATCTCAAAGCTCCAGTTACAAAACAAAACAAATATAAAATCGATTTGATTCTATGGCGATAACACCTCTGTGAAATTTAACATAATCTGGATTTTGTTTTTGAAGATTCCATGAAATTACAAGACAGGCTAAATTCCGTTTACAAATAGGATATCAGAGAATCAATAAATGATTGGTGAAATAAATTAGCATTTGCAGTTTCAAGTGTACATAGGACAATGTATAACTATGAAATGCTGACTGTAGCTTTTAATCACCAAAAGCTGAATGACAAGTTGAACTCCAAATTCATGAATAAACTATCAATTGGGCTAGCAAAGATAGTACTATTGTAAACAAGGACTAAGCTGATATGACTTGAGAGTAGTACTTTTAATTTCATATGCATATTAAGCATTCTTCTTTAGTTCAAAGCATCCTGTTTTCAGAAAAATTGATCTTTGCTTTTACCCTATTGACAGTGAAATTAACATTTTTGAAGAATAACATGTTTTCCTAATCATGTTCCACATGGTTTGGGATGTGAACTATTAAGGAGCTTTCATGGACTTGTAGTCTCACAACGTGTTCTGTAATTGTTCTCACTTCAATCAATGTTTCAGTTTCATTCCTGAAAATACAGTATATGTGTTGCTGTTAAGACATAATTATTGTCATCTCAATTTAAATCAAATTAGTAATTTATGTTATCCTTATGACCCATACAAAACTGAATCGGTATAGCATGCTACATATGAATACTAATATAGCTTTCATTTTTGAGGAAAATTCCATTCAAATATTATTCAATTCAAACAGTGAAAATAATGTTTCTGATAATATTATTTCTTATCAAAATTGCCTCGTCAGTTGAAATTGGTCTTGCCTTTTTGTTGATCCTGACTACAGCTCATGTTGATTACCATATTATTAAAGCTTTACTTTCATATCTCATACCTTTGACGCACTCTCTTAGTGTAATGAAGAGTGTTTTCTCTAAGTGCTGTTGATGTGGGGAAAGGGAATTTCATCGGCCACACATCAGTTTCCATCTCCAGGTTTTTAATCGATGCATAAGTTGTTCCGTCAATGTGTAGGAAATGCTGCACCTCTGCATATAACACTCTATAATATAAACAATCAATAGTCTTATAGGCAATGTCAAAGCACCAATATAAAAACATAAGGTTAGATCTATTTAATGTTTACAAGACAAATTTACTGGCTATAATTGATAATCTCTGGATATAAGCTTGGTTTAAGTGGTACAATCAAGTTAGTATTTTATTTATTCATGCATTTATCATAGAAACCGAATCAAATATTTTCCCCAATGAATCATATTTTAATTATCACTTAATAACTGATGATCATATATTTACTGATGATCATATATTTACTGATGATCATATATTTACTGATGATCATATATTTACTGATGATCATATATTTACTGATGATCATATATTTTGATATGTAGATATGCTTACTTACAAATTATTAATGCAGTAGGCAATGATTGAATCATTTCTCTTGGTATACTTTGGAGCATGGACACTTGTTATTGTTTGTCCCTTGTATATTATTTTGCTTGACCTCTGATGACCCGTCTCGGTGACAATGGGGTTTACCAAAAGGCAGTCATTGACATTGACAACATTTGTCCTGAAAACAATAATCAATAATTAGAGAATAATAACAATTATAAATTTTATCTAGACTGATGCCTAATGGAAGTATTCAATTTGACGGATTCAGGACTGACGTTTAATTAACCTTTTGAATACCCAGAATGACGGATATATCTGTCACAAATGAAATCCATTTGGAACCCAGAGCGACATATATATCTGTCACAGAATTTTTCACTAAAACTGCTCTAACTTTTGCAATTTTTATCCAATCTTCACAAAACAGGTTTTAAAATGTTTTAAATTGACATTTTGAGAAATTTTGGGAAAATGAGGCCGATAAGTTAAATTCAGGAAATGCACTGCATGATTTGAATTCTATTAAATAGTTAAAAACACTCACAATTTTTTCTTCTTCAATATCTCTTGAACATCTGGGTTTGATACAAGAAGGGTCATTACTCTTAAGAGTTGAATCGACCTCAGATTGTTCAAGACCTGAAAAAATAAATTAGTATTGAAGATTATTGATAAGATTGAAATTGTGCAACACTAAACAAATAACATTTATGCAAAATGTTCCTCAGTTAGAGTACATTGTATTTTATGCTACGTGGACAATGCATGAATGACAAAATGTTGATTGACACTTTGTATGTGCAATACTTTATACATGTATTAAGTATATGAGTCTCTCATAAGCTGCACTGGCTGGGGCAGTGTTTTAAAAATGTTAATTAAGTATTATATATTAAATTCTTGCTGTGAGACGTAAATAAACTATAAAATAAAATATCAATTGATCATATTCACATTGTAATTAGGATTTTTCTATTTTGATTAACACTGAACTGCCATTTCATATATTTAACTGAAGATCCAACTCAAGTACCATCATCGCTATTAGATACAAATAAAAAAACAAACAATATTTAGTTACAGTTGATCAGTTTATTTAGAAAATACATTTTTATAGTACACTATATTACATCATGTTAACATATTATCACATATTACATAACATCACTACTGAGAGGACAGGCACTTCTCTAAAATGTCTATCACTTGGATGATTGAAGGACGATCTGCTGGTGACCTCTTGTGAAGGAGTGAAATTAGCCCAGACAAGCCTCTCACGGAAGTTCTCTGGCGAATGTCCTTAAATAATGTCCCAAGAGAGTATAAGTCACTCTGGATTGAGGCTGCATACCCTTCCTGAATCTCAGGAGCAATCCAATCCCGTCCTGATGAAAGTCCATCCTTGAAGATAAGAGGTGCCGAAAGTGATGATGAGAGTCCAAAATCAATCAGTTTACCCTCTGTCTTGGTGACTAGACAGTAATTGTTCGTTTTGATATCATTGTGGAGCATTCCTCTAAAATGGATATGCATCAGTGTTGTAGTCAGGCAGAGGCACTGGGATATGTAGTCCTTGTTGTTGAGCTGGTAATAATCCTGGTGATCCAAAACACGTTCGAGGGTTGATCTCCTGCTTTTGTCCATGTGGACAAACTCTGTAACCAGTGTGTGAGAGTCGGGAATGGCGATCAGCTGCTGTACATGTTCTATCTCACTAAGATGGATGAGGTTGATTGCTTCTCGTACAAGGTCTGTTGTTGATGCCATTCTCTTCACGGCAATCTCAGCTCCAGTCTGGTCACGCAATGCCTTTACGGACCCGAAAGCACCTTCTCCCAGAATGCCCAATGGTGTAGTGAATGCGGTTAATTCGACTTCACGGTATGGTAATAACGCTTCACGTGTTGGCAATTCCTGGAGATGTGATAAAGCTCTATATAAGCTGTTTTTCTCTTCACGCTCATTAGCTAGTGACGCCTCCAAGTCCCGAATCTTGTTATGAGCCCTTCGCAGCTCCCTCTGGTTGTTGGCAGCAGTTGCTGTTGCTTCTTGCAGAGCAGCCTCCAACTCTGCTATCTTGATGTCTTTGTTGGCGTCGTCCACATCCTCTATGATACGATTTACGACATCATGAGGCGCGCTGAAATCAGTGTCATCAGATGTGAACAGCTCAGTTCTTGCAGTATCGTGCCAAACAATAGGCGTTGGTTGAGGGTGTACTGGGATCTGGCTTTCGACATTCATAGTATACTCTTTCCAAGCCAGTTCCTTGTAGAAATATCTTCTCTGGCGTCCACGTCCTGCTCTTGTAATGGTAACTTTCCCGAACACCTGTCGCAGAAGGATACCAAATCTTGTCTTGGTAACTGGGCCGACTTCTTCTTGGCATCTCTTGAGGCAGCTATCAGAGAAGACTCTCTCAATATCAGGAACCTTGGTGTTGTCAGCTTGTAGAGTCTTCTGCATCCAGTTGGTTATTGTGTTTTCTGCTGTCATCTTGAGTGTTATGTAGTAGTTGCATTAATAAATAATGAATTCCAAGAGAAATTTTCCTGCTTTTAAACCCAAAAATTGTTTGAAACTCAAAATGAAGCGTTCTGATTGGTCAATCTTAATCCTTTAATTTCTTTAATCTGGCCTCAAAATATCACATATTATAAACAAAAGTGTCAGTGTCAGTGTCATCAAATAGTGATCATTTAATCCAGGTAATCAATCCTGACATTGTTTAAAACATTAATCCTGCAATCTGATTGGTTATTGGAATTGAATGATCTGAAGATGAGTACTAAACAATTGCATCATATGATTCCTTGATCTTAAAACAATAAGATAATCTCTCTCAGCCTGTCACCAGATGTATTTAAACAATTTGTCACTTTTTGGAATTATCTTTTATTAAAGTGATTACCCTTTTTGAAAAATATTCTAAAGACTTGACCACTCAAATATCTTATTATTTATCACAATCCTACAGTACCATTAGTATTTCAATCACATTTTTGAAGGTGTGTCCAAAGACAAGAATTTTTTTTTACATGATTTTAACAGTATTTGGGAAATAAATAAAATAAAAAAAATGAAAATGCAATAATTGTTTGAAACTTGAAATGAAGCATTCTGATTGGTCAATCTTAATTCTTTAATCTGGCCTCAAAATATCACATATTATAAACAAAAGTGTCAGTGTCATCAAATAGTGATCAGTTAATCCAGGTAATCAATCCTGACATTGTTTAAAACATTAATCCTGCAATCTGATTGGTTATTGGAATTGAATGATCTGAAGATGAGTACTAAACAATTGCATCATATGATTCCTTGATCTTAAAACAATAAGATAATCTCTCTCAGCCTGTCACCAAATGTATTTAAACAATTTGTCACTTTTTGGAATCAAGCTTTATCAAAGTGATTTCCTTTTTTGAAAAATAAACCAACCAAATATTTATAATTGATAAAATAGTACCATGTGTACTTATCAGACACATAAGGGTAATATGAAAATTGAATAATCGATCCACTAAAACTAAAACTTATGAATATTCATTTAAAGGGAACTTTCTACTATATCTGCCATGCTATCTGACCTGAATTAGTCAACTGGTGGTGAAACGGGTAACTATCTACTGGCATGTGGGTACTAACAATTGCTTGTGATTATTTGAATATTTACCTGAATTCCTTTATTCTGAGTCCCCTGGATTGTCCTGACTAGTGTACCAATATGTGACTCAGGGGCAAAGCATGATGTTGCCCAGATCGGACCAAATTTTTCTGCACACTGCACTAGGTGCAGCCCAGTGTTGTGGGAATTTATTGTCAGTGATGACTTTCCTACAAAATAGTACAATTGTCACAAAATGAATAGAAATGAAATAGAGCATGTTGGAAATTTGATATCATGCTGAAGATTTGAAAAGTATGATATAATAGTAATGCCTGAAATCAATTGAACATTTTAATTGTAAGTTGTGTCAAATACTAGGTTGTTACGATCTTTGGAGGAGTAGCATTAGCATTGTTTGTCATTTGGCTGAGTGTGTTACAAAAACTACAAGCCTGCTTTATCTAAAAAGAGGTTTACCATAATGTGACTCTTGGAGATCATAGAAATTGTAAAGTAGTGCTGCTGCATGGCCCAGTTCAGTTGGTGATATTTTATCTTGGAGTAAAATCCTAACCCCAGCTGAGAGCATACAATAATGTGCTATGTAGTCATCAGGTAGGAGTCCAGTCAGTACCTCAGGCCCAAACATGATGAGAAATGCTCTATGTTCTGCAGCTGTAAAGCAAATTAAACATTACACGATGGTTAAAGCTGATATGTCATTAAAGTGAACCTATAGTTGAACCCGTGGTTTGAAAATAAAATGTCATTGAAGTAAACCTATAGTTGAACCCATAGTTTGAAACTGATATCTCATTGAAGTGAACCTATAGTTGAACCCATGGTTTGAAGTGAATATGCCATTGAAGTAAACCTATAGTAGAACCCGTGGTTTGAAAATAAAATGTCATTGAAGTGAACCTATAGTTGAACCCATAGTTTGAAACTGATATCTCATTGAAGTGAACCTATAGTTGAACCCATGGTTTGAAGCTAACACATCATTGAAGTGAACCTTTAGTTGAACCCGTGGTTTGAAGTTAATGTCATTGAAGTGAACCTATAGTTGAACCCATAGTTTGAAACTGATATGTCATTGAATGAACCTATAGTTGAACCCATGGTTTGAAGTGAATGTGCCATTGAAGTGAACCTATAGTTGAACCCGTAGTTTGAAACTGATATGTCATTGAAGTGAACCTATAGTTGAACCCGTGGTTTGAAGTGAATATGCCATTGAAGTGAACCTATAGTTGAACCCGTGGTTAGAAAATAAAATGTTTTTGAGGTGAAACTATAGTTGAACCCATAGTGTGAAGCTAACATATCATTGAAGTGAACCTATAGTTGAACCCATGGTTTGAAGTTGATGTCGTTGGGGTGAACCTATAGTTGAACCCGTGGTTGGACCAGTGAACCCGTAGTTGAACCCGTGGTTTGAAATTTACATGTGACTCAAGTGAACCCATAGTTCAACCCATACTTTGGAGCTTACATGTCTTTGAAGTGAACCTATAGTTGAACCCATGGTTTGAAGTTTACATATGCATCCATTGAAGCTTTAGTGTAGCCCATATTTTGAGGCTTACATGTCATTAAAGTGAACCTTTAGTTGGACCAATATCACTCAATATCATTGAAAGTTTATAAGAAAGATTACATTGAAGCCTATATGTCAATGAAGTGAACCTATAGTTGGACCCTTGGTTTTAAGTTTGCATATGACTGTAACAATGTATGTAAATTATATCATTACCTTTCCAAGATTTATGATTGGTGACAGACCGTGGTGTCCTTGTGAAGTCTGATGTCAGTTGGACTTTGTTCAGCCTCTCATCAATTTTCTGAATTTCCCTTACTAGTGAGAAGGGCTCTTCTTTGTACTGTTTGTCAAAGAAATATTGCATCAGATTGCCATGAACTCCAAGGCACACACCATGTAGCCAATCAAGTGAGATGTCACAATACACTTGGCCCATGTTTAGAAAGTGGAGGCTCGAGAGGCGCTTCACTCCTTTTACCTAAGAAGACATTAATTCTTATGAATAACTATGATAATATTGTGCTTAAATGTCCCTTAAAGATTCTTGTACAAGAAGGATAAAATTGTTATTCTGATTCAATACTGAGAAAATTCAAAATGACCACCTTATGTTGGGTTTCACAATAATTTCCCAATATCTTCAAAGTATCGCTACTGTTAATACCATTTGTTTGTTTTTTATTTGTGCCACAGTTAATTCCAACTACCTTAAATTCGGAATTTGCTATAATTTATTTAGAGATATCTTCATAGTTGGTTTACATTTAGTTATATTAGATCAAATATATTGTAGTTATTCATGTTAAAACACCTACTGCTTTGTTAGTTTCTTCTGCAGTTCTAGCTTGCTCCTTAATATTGTCTGGAGTTCGTAAGGGAGCAATGTCGTCAGGGGAAGGGCAGGAGTACACTTGCACACTTCCACGACCCTTCTTGATCCGTTCACCAGGGTCTTCACAAAATCCACAGCCAAATCTACCATTGTACTGCACTTGGTCGAGGACCATAGCTTGGGCAGGAAGGTCCAAAGTTCCAACAAGTAGCAGTATCCTGCAAGTCTGGTCCTGGTCATTATCAATTGGAAAAATGGTGATTCCTTAAAAAAACAATCATTCCAAGATTTACATACAAAGAAGCATCCCTGGAAATTTCAAATCATCTGCGAAATGGTTTGCCTGAAAAGGTGTAGAGTTGTAGGTTCAATTCCAGTTTTTTGATAGTGAGTTGTTTACTAGGGATGCCATTCTAGATGAGAAGTGAATTCTATAAATTTAACAAGATAACAGCAATGCCAATGCATAGCAAATTGAACAGCCATTTTTTTTAGAGTAGATTGCAAATATTGTATCGTTTTTCTGCCTAATATGGGATTTCGCACTCATTTTCTGATCTCTTCGATGCATGGCTTTATTATACTCAAATCAAAGAAATTTAGAGTAGATCACAATTATGGTATTGTATTTCTTAGTTCATTTTTAACCAAAGTTATGAGTATAACTGATTGGAATTTTGGTAATGGATATGTTGTTCATTGGGATTTGCTACTCTGTGGAGTTGCAGTTTTCTAGTATATCTTGTACCTAAAATACTATAAAACTGACACTAAAATGCTGCCCATTTTGAAACAAGTTTCCATTTTGAAAATTGGCTTGCATGCAGAACTTGTACTTCCATGAAGCATATACATACTTATAAAATATAAAGGTACCTGACGGTCCAACAGACGGTATTTGAATTATTGCTGTTCTCTATATCCCCACAAACTATGTTTGATGGGATAATGAGTTTATGTTTATTGCATCCAATGAACATACCATTTAGATATACTTCATTCAGTCTGTCAATGATCGGCTCCATGAATGTTATCATAGATGGCTTTTTGGCCCCCTTCCATAAACCAATTACAATTCTGTAGTTTTGGTCAAATCTACAAAACAGAATTACAAAGCTATTAGTTTTATTTTAATTGATGATGAAGCCTAATATAAACATTATACATGTACAGTGTATGTATGTATTTCTTTTCCATAACATCACCTAATGACCAGAATGCTATTGTCATGAGTATCACTTTCTTGGCCTATCAGATATTGCAAACAATTATTTTGAATTATTTTGTAAAGTGGTGTCAATGTTACATGGCACTGCAGAGTTACATGCCTCACTTAACCCTTTCACGGCGATAGGCTCCATATGGAGCCCTATTATGTAATACCTTTCAGGATGATGGGCTCCTTTTTGTCACCATTATTTTTATTTTTATACATCAATAAAATGATGATATCTCCAGTTCTGTTCAGTATTTTTACACCAAATTTTGACAAGTTGTTAAAATGTGATAATTCTTATTAAAAATTGTATTTAAGTGATAAAATGTAAAGTAAAGTTCCCAGGTAGAGATAATTTGCAGTTTTCCCCTTAAAAACACTCTTACTTATCCATCACCAGGCCAACCTTTTCCTCTTATATTCAGGTCATGAAAGGGTTAAAAGATCTTTATCTTTATTGAAGTTTATCACATTGATCAAATTTTAAAAAATTGAAAAATTATTCAATGAATTCATCTTTACCTCATAGATGGTGGTAATTCATTAATATACCCCGTCAGTGGCCAGATATCATATCTTGATGATTTGGAGCAGGCAGCACCATCAAAATGAATCATCAGTGATAAATTGTATGGATTTGTAAGGAAGCCTCCTTCCTGCGTGTGCTTTTTATAGGCAGACCCATCCCAAATATCACAGATATTGTCCCCTGGACTTTCTCGAGTGAACCTTTTCTTGATTCCTTTACAGAACTTTGGATCTGAAAAACATCAAAATTACTACAGTAGTTGTTATTTTCAATATTGCAACTTGGGTATAAGGTCTCTGTACTAAATGTGTTTTAAAGTATCAAGGAAAAAGTCCAGTAAATAATGAAAAAATATTTTAAGTAACCTGTTCTTTATTTTGTTAAACTTTATTGAACCCCGGGTGTCCTGTTACCTTTGAAAAATTCCTGAATTTGTCGCTCAACATCTAAACCGTGGAAGCTGGCATTTGGCAGTTTTGTTTTTGGATTTTTGTACCGTGATGTATTACAATCAGGACATGTTATTGCAGCATCCTTATAGAGATATGAACAATTTTCGCAAATTTCAAAATTCAGAATGGATGATTCTTCAGTGTCACTTTGTTTGTATAGTTTATTAAAATAATACAAGCTTTTTAGATGAGGTGCATCACAATTGACTGGAAGATGCAGCTTCAATATGTTGATGATATTCTCAAGTGCTGCTTTTGATGTGTTGAAGGAGTGAAGGTGATTTACAAGAAGTACTAAACTTTCTAAATCAGACAATTGACTTCCTTCATATAGTGGAACATGGTTAGATTGCATTTGAGACATATAATCCTGCACTTTGTCAATTTTGCGCTTTGCCATATTTGTATTAGGCAATGTATAGGGCAGATCTGGTAGTTCAATTGACTTGAAGGTCTTTATGATGTCGATGATGTGACTTAGTTTATAATACAGGGATGAAAGGATCCTCAGATTCTAAAATGTAAAATCATTTCTATATTTTTGATCACATTGGTTATTAAAATGAAAACCAATCACCCCTTTAAAAAGTTAAGTAAGGCCTGGAGCCAATTAATGTAGATAATCTGTTCAAAAGTAAAATGAAATTTACTAATTGGCAGATATTGACTTAAATCATTACATTGCAATTTAAGTAATTAACTCCAGATTAATAATTGGTGCTTTACCATTACATATCAATAATATGATTTAATTTGGCATATAAGTAATGGAAAAGTATAATACTGCAACAAATTATTTTATATCATTGGTTTTTTATCTGATTATACAAATGGATTTTTTTTATATCTAATGAGAAATCGGAGTAAGGAAAGAATAATGTGGGAAGATGTGGAAAATATGGGTGAAACTAAGAAAGTAGATAGGAAAATTTGGGGAAAGTGTGGAGAAATATGTCACCTTAAATAAACATTTACCTAGGAAAGTAAACAAATCTCAGTAGTTGTTTTGTTTATCATTTTGCCTTGAATTAGAGAAACCATTGTTTAAATTTATTAATTTTTATTTATTAATCTCATTGTTTTTTTTCATCTTATAAAACATGAATTTTCTTTGATATCTGATGAGAAACTAGGCTTAGCAAAGAATGTTGTGGAAAATATAAGTTGATAGCAAATTTGGGGAAATTGTGGAGAAATATCTCAGTTCAAATTATTTTATATCATTGGTTTTTTATCTGATTATACAAATGGATTTTCTTTGATATCTAATGAGAAATTGGACTAAGGAAAGAATATTGTGGGAAGATGTGGAAAATATGGGTGAAACTAAGAAAGTAGATAGGAAAATTTGGGGAAAGTGTGGAGAAATATGTCACCTTAAATCAACATTTACCTAGAAATGTAAACAAATCTCAGTAGTTGTTTTGTTTATCATTTTGCTTTGAATTAGAGAAACCAATATGAACATGTAGAATTGAAGTTTAAAGAATACATATAGGATTTTATAATGAATTGTTATTGTTAAAGATTTAAAAAAGATTTTAATGTTCTATTTTAACAATTGATCATAAATGCATTGTATGTTTATTTATTTAAGTCTGGCTGTTTGATTGCTTTTGCAGAGTTCAAGTTGTGGAGATCATAGAAAATTAGCATCATAAATGAGACTAACACTCCCCTTTCCTTTTCATTAATTAATTGGATTAAACATTTAGTGCCTATATATAGGGCTCTCCAGAGTAAAATTCAGTCTTAAATCAGATATCACAAGAGCTAGAACACTGATCATATCACAAGAAACAGAACACTGACCAAAAAGAAAGAATTTCAAAACATTTTGACAGAATTAGAAATACTGTGTTCATAAAGAAGAAGATGACACTCAGACAACTCACAAAAGAAAAAGGTTTGAATATTATTGAAATAATTAAAATATAGGTTCACTTCAATGACATATCGGTTTCAAACTATGGGTTCAACTATAGGTTCACTTCCAGTCAATGACATATCAGTTTCAAACTACGGGTTCAACTATAGGTTCAACTATAGGTTCACTTCAATGACATATCAGTTTCAAACTACGGGTTCAACTATAGGTCCACTTCAAGTCAATGACATATCAGTTTCAAACTACGGGTTCAACTATAGGTTCACTTCAATGACATATCAGTTTCAAACTACGGGTTCAACTATAGGTTCACTTCCAGTCAATGACATATCAGTTTCAAACTATGGGTTCAACTATAGGTTTTTTTCAATAACATATCAGTTTCAAACTACGGGTTCAACTATAGGTTCACTTCAAGTCAATGACATATCAGTTTCAAACTACGGGTTCAACTATAGGTTCACTTCCAGTCAATGACATATCAGTTTCAAACTGCGGGTTCAACTATAGGTTCACTTCAATGACATATCAGTTTCAAACTACGGGTTCAACTATAGGTTCACTTCCAGTCAATGACATATCAGTTTCAAACTACGGGTTCAACTATAGGTTCACTTCCAGTCAATGACATATCAGTTTCAAACTACGGGTTCAACTATAGGTTCACTTCAATGACATATCAGTTTCAAACTACGGGTTCAACTATAGGTCCACTTCAAGTCAATGACATATCAGTTTCAAACTACGGGTTCAACTATAGGTTCACTTCAATGACATATCAGTTTCAAACTACGGGTTCAACTATAGGTTCACTTCCAGTCAATGACATATCAGTTTCAAACTATGGGTTCAACTATAGGTTTTCTTCAATGACATATCAGTTTCAAACTACGGGTTCAACTATAGGTTCACTTCAAGTCAATGACATATCAGTTTCAAACTACGGGTTCAACTATAGGTTCACTTCCAGTCAATGACATATCAGTTTCAAACTACGGGTTCAACTATAGGTTCACTTCAATGACATATCAGTTTCAAACTACGGGTTCAACTATAGGTTCACTTCCAGTCAATGACATATCAGTTTCAAACTACGGGTTCAACTATAGGTTCACTTCCAGTCGATGACATATCAGTTTCAAACTACGGGTTCAACTATAGGTTCACTTCAATGACAAATAAAGTTCAAACCTTGGATTCAATTATAGGTTCACTTTTGGGTTCAACCAGATTATTTTAATAACATGCAAATTTTATTTTTAACTTTAGGCCCTGACAAGTGGACTGTTATTTCCTTTGAGAGTGACAACAAGGGGCTAGTGATAAAATCCTCAAGACTGCGGCTTCTGGACAACACAGATGAAATGATAGTGGGATGTGCAGTAAAGTGCAAAGCCTTTCCAAAGTACAAAGCAACAATTAAATGTATAACAGGTATATCAATATGAATTCCAGATTTTGTAATGAGTGCAGTGTGTGTATTACTTTCAAATAAATTCATTAGTTAACAACATAAATTACTTTTCTGAGATTTACATAATTTTATACGCTCAGTAGGAAAACTATGAATAAATATTTTATTTTATTCACAATGGTATGTAACATTATGTAATGTAGTTAATATGTAATTTACAGATGAGGAAGATGATGCCAATACCTTGAGCTGCAATAATGCTATTAATATATAAGCATTCGGATTAGACAGATTTTAATGTGTGCTATAGTGACAAACTCTATTTACTTCATACAGGCATTCAGCATCCCCGAGGAGCTAAGAAAAGAAGTACTGAGGAATATGCAGAATTGGCAACAACTAGTACTTCAGAAATAGAAAATGAAGATATCAGTGAAATTCAACGTAAGACGCTCTTAGTGTACTCTCTCCTATTTACAGCTAACCAAAATTATCTAAAAGGTCTTAGTTTAGCTTGAATTATTCTGAAAAACTGATTTTTAAACCTGCATATGAATCATATGTATGTATGTACATTTCATACATAAATAAGAATAATTTTGACACTCCTATTGAATCAGTGAAAGGTATGGAGCAAATAGAGCAAAGTGTATATATTGTATTTTTTCTTCTTAGCTGTAAAGCGTCGAAAGACAAGAAAACGGAAGAATGCATCCAAAATTAAGAAGCCCTTGAAGGATGACAAAGTTACCAAAGTTAAACTGTCTCAGCTGAACAGTAAGTGGAACTAACATAAATCTGCAATTCATCTCAAACAATAATGTCAATAATTCTATATAACAAAATAGCTATAAGATGAATGAAGTTGACAAGGCAAATGGATACAATATCTCATTCATTAATATATAATAAAAAAATATGTTTTGGTTATGTTTGTTGCTGTCAACATGGCACATGAAGATTTCCTATTACAGAATAGATTATCCTTGTAATTGTGATTGTAAAATGAGATGGTATTGTTAAAGTAAATATAAACTTTGCATTCATGAATTTTAATTTTTATTCTAGATATAGAACTAGTGCACAAACGCTCAAAAGAAAGAAGTGAAAAGTTTGCCACACTTTTTGCCACAAATTTGAATGCCAAAGTTCAAGAAGTCTCGACACCTATTTCAAGACAATCAAGCCCAGTGCCTTCTTCACCAGTTCGAATTCCAAGTTCAAATGCCAAAGTTCAAGAAGTTTCGACACCTATTTCAAGACAACCGAGTCCAGTGCCTTCTTCGCCAGTTCGAAGTCCAAGTTCAAATGCCAAAGTTCAAGAAGTCTCGACACCTATTTCAAGACAACCGAGTCCAGTGCCTTCTTCGCCAGTTCGAATTCAAAGTTCAAATGCCAAAGTTCAAGAAGTCTCGACACCTATTTCAAGACAATCAAGCCCAACGCTTTCTTCGCCAGTTGCCATTCCAAATTCAAATGCCAAAGTTCAAGAAGTCTCGACACCTATTTCAAGACAATCAAGCCCAGTGTTTTCTTCACCAGTTGCCATTCGTAAGGCCCGCATGAGCACCAGCACCCACACCGTTGTAGAAGTAACTCAGATAACAGAGTGCAATAATCCTACCAATAACACAAGTCTGAATGTCAGAAATGATAAAGAGAATCAGTTGTCTGGATTGAACATATCTGGAAATTTAATAGAACTCATAGATGACATGGCAACAAACATGGAAACAAACCCGTCCTCAGGATATCAAGGTATGACAAACCCATCCTCAGGTTATCAAGGTATGACAAACACATCCTCAGGATATCAAGGTATGACAAACACATCCTCAGGATATCAAGGTATGACAAACCCGTCCTCAGGATATCAAGGTATGACAAACCCGTCCTCAGGATATCAAGGTATGACAAACCCGTCCTCAGGATATCAAGGTATGACAAACCCGTCCTCAGGATATCAAGGTATGACAAACCCATCCTCAGGATATCAAGGTATGACAAACCCGTCCTCAGGAGATCAAGGTATGACAAACCCGTCCTCAGGATATCAAGGTATGACAACCCAGTCCTCAGGATATCAAGGTATGACAAACCCGTCCTCAGGATATCAAAGTATGACAAACCCGTCCTCAGGATATCAAAGTATGACAAACCCATCCTCAGGATATCAAAGTATGACAAACCCATCCTCAGGATATCAAGGTATGACAAACCCGTCCTCAGGATATCAAGGTATGACAAACCCGTCCTCAGGATATCAATGTATGACAAACCCGTCCTCAGGATATCAAGGTATGGCGACAAACCCGTCCTCAGGATATCAGGGTATGGCGACAAACCCGTCCTTGGGAAATCAGGGTATGGCGACAAACTTCTACTCTGGCTACCAAGGAATGGCGACTAATTACTCATCCCTCATCCCTCACAACAGCATCACTGCAATGGCACCTTGGGCTGAGACAATGAAATCCCAATTATTTGTAAGTATACCAGCAGTTAAAATCTAAATTCTGCTCATTATTAGTTATATATGAAGCATTGAAAAGATTTTAATTATGTTTTGATGAAATAGTTTTTATGGAGTTCAACAATTTGCAAATATATCTCTAAAATTTCTTGTTATTGTCTAAGAAACATTTTGATGCCTTTGCATATTATCTAAATGTGTAGCTGAAATGAGCAGTTTAATGCAAGTTTTTCACTCTATTTTTCAGAGAGATGTATGCAGCCATGTGTCCAATCAATTAAACATACTTCATGGAAGAATTGACTACAATACGTTTAAAAACCAGCAAAATGCCCAAGAAATCAATCTCATCCAGACCAGTTTTAACAAAGGTAATATATCAAGAGCAAGTAAAAAATAATTTCAAATTCAAGTTTTTTTAATGGAATAGAATTGTATAATTTACTGAATTTTGTTTGACTATTGCAAACAATTTAGTCTCCGGCAAGCAAAGTTGGTTGTCAACTTCGAAATAATCAAAAGAGAAACCTGTACTTCTGACATCTCTCTAAATCCAAGGACTTCAATTGTGAATATTTTTTTTCCCAATTACATACTTGCCCAATAACTACCTTCTTGATAAAACATTGACATATCACATGCTGGTCTGAACACATTTTTAAATTTCCAGTGGTGTTAAGATTACACCAACTATATTTTTCATGACTTTATCATGATAGTTTATAATTTATATATAATATATCATTTCAATTCTAAATTGTAGGCTTTGAGCAGTTCAATACCAATATGAACAGCATGAAGGACCGGATTGTGAATGAGATCACAGGAATAGTAAAACCTCCTACAGCCAGGAAGCTAGATCTGGAATCATTGGGGAGCTCCATTGGATATAGTGAAACCCATAGGCAATACAGTGTCTCGCCACCCCTGTCACACTTGTCAGACGAAAGTGATTGTGAACTTTCTATGGATATACAAGAATCTCAGTCACCTGAATCCCCAAGTTGTAAAACACCATCAACCGTTACTTCTCCTGTCTTCAATATACCATCTGCAAGTTCCAATACTGAGATCCGACAAACACAATTACCAATTCAAGAATCTTCCTCTCTACCAGGCCAGACGTCTGATTCAGGTAATGTCATCTTTCATTTCTTAGACAACAGTTAGTAAACTTAACCCTGCATTTGTTCTTAACTAAAAGAATGGAAGCTATATAACTAATCAGAACCCAATAACTATGTCGTTCAACTCAAATTTCATTGCAGGTTGCTCTGTAAACAAAGAAACGCCAGAAGATCTGAGACCAGTTACTGTTGTTGAAAAAAGAAAAGCCAATATAACAGTGAGTATCAAGTTTCTAAGTTGAATGAAGGATTCAAATGGGTATTATGCATACTATGGGTTTAATTAAATAACATATTGACTATGGGTTCAACTATAGGTTCAATTACAGTCACATGTAAACATCAAACCACAGTTTCAACTACGGGTTCAACTATAGCTTCACTTCAATGTCATGTAAACTTCAAACTACAGGTTTAACCACGGGTTCAACTATATTTTCACTTCAATGATATGTCAGCTTCAAACCACGGGTTCAACTATAGGTTCATTTCAATGATATGTAAACTTCAAACCATGGGCTCAACTATAGGTTCATTTCAATGACATTAACTTCAAACGACGGGTCCAACTATAGGTTCACTTCAATGACATATTAACTTCAAACCATGGATTCAACTATAGGTTCACTTCAATGACATATTAATGACAATGTTCACTTCAATGACATTTCAGTTTAAAACCACGGGTTCAACTATAGGTTCACTTCAAAGGCATATCAGTTTCAAACCACGGGTGCAACTATAGGTTCACTTTAATGACATTTCAGTTTCAAACCACGGGTTCAACTATAGGTTCACTTAACTGACATATTAATGACAATGTTCACTTCATTGACATTTCAGTTTAAAACCACAGGTTCAACTATAGGTTCACTTCAAAGACATATCAGTTTCAAACCACGGGTGCAACTATAGGTTCACTTTAATGACATTTCAGTTTCAAACCACGGGTTCAACTATAGGTTCACTTAACTGACATATTAATGACCATGTTCACTTCAATGACATTTCAGTTTAAAACCACGGGTTCAACTATAGGTTCACTTCAAAGACATATCAGTTTCAAACCACGGGTGCAACTATAGGTTCACTTCAATGACATTTTAATTTCAAACCACGGGTTCAACTATAGGTTCACTTCAATGACATATTAATTTCAAACCACAGGTGCAACTATAGGTTCACTTTCATGACATATCAGTTTCAAACCACGGGTTCAACTATAGGTTCACTTCAATGACATATTAATTTCAAACCACAGGTGCAACTATAGGTTCATTTTCATGACATATCAGTTTCAAACCATGGGTTCAACTATAGGTTCACTTCAATGACATTAATTTCAAACCACGGGTTCAACTATAGGTTCACTTCAAAGACATATCAGTTTCAAACCATGGGTGCAACTATAGGTTCACTTCAATGACATTTTATTTTCAAACCATGGGTTCTACTATAGGTTTACTTCAATGGCATATTCACTTCAAACCATGGGTTCAACTATAGGTTCAATTCAATGATATGTTAGCTTCAAACTATGGGTTCAACTATAGGTTTACTTCAATGACATTTTATTTTCAAACCACGGGTTCACCTATAGGTTCACTTCAATGACATATTAATTTCAAACCACAGGTGCAACTATAGGTTCACTTTCATGGCATATCAGTTTCAAACCACAGGTTCAACTATAGGTTCACTTCAATGTATAAGTTCAATGGGAAAATATGCAAACTTCGGGTTCAATTATAGCTTTAAATGAATAATATGTAGGCTTCAAACCACAGGTTCACCCATATGTATTTATAATTGAAACCATGACCTGAGGTATTCTGCAATTTATAAAGTTCTGATTCAGTTAATAAAAATCTTTCCTTTTACATAGGAAATCTCTGAATCGACAATGAAAGTAGTCGCAGATATAGTGAAGAAGAGAGGGCCAGGAAAAGCCATTTGCTACCTGCTAGATAAGATGTTTAGTGAAAGGGAACTCTTGAACACATTTGCCAGACCATCTGGGAACAACCTGACTTTAGATGACCTTGGTGTTAGAATGCCGCTAATTAGAGGTATGTTCCTACTTTATCCAAAGTTTTATTTTTTAGATATTAAAGGATTCTGCAATAAATGTCTAGTTCACCATTTCAATATTATCGTGTAGTAACACTGTAGGAAAATGGAGACAGTTTTGGTACCCCTTGATTATTTTACATAAGAAGGTGTTTCATTGTTCTGGCATATTAACCAATTATAAAAAAGAATGTAATTCTAAAACAACTGCTCCACGTTAAATGATATGTCTCTAAAATGATTAATGTTTTGTAAAATCTTTTGTCATTGCAGAATTCTTGCAGACAAGACATGGGATAGATATAAATAAGATTGAGAAAACAACAAACCAAAAACGCAGAGATTTGAAAAGGAAAGCAAAGAAATAGACTTTTGTTTATGGATTGTCCTGGGCTTAACAATCAATGTTACTAATGATTACAATTTATTAGTCTATGTCTACAATGCCATTAAAATAGCTTGTACATTTAAACATATATCAAAATTGATTTAATCAAATCCCATATTAGTTGTACAAAGTTGCATATTTTATGAATCTGTGTGTCAAATTATCTATTTTGTTTTCTTTACAAAAGCAAAGTGCTGTCTCCTTTATTTTTATTTCAAAAAGTCAAATCATTTGTTCACAATATTATGTAAATACTTCCATTGGAAAACTATCAGATTGGTCCTTTTAATGACCTTGTATAGCACTGTAAGCATCAATAAAGGTATTTATTAACATCTGTATCATCCATCAATGAAACATTAGTTGGTTTAATTTTGAATAATGATGAAATGTTTCTCAACTTGTAGGAAAATGATGAACTCAGATAAATACCTTATTTTGATTTCACAATTTTTGCAATTGCCAATGTATTATTATACTACAGATTATAGATAGTCTAATAATGTTATTATCCCAGCCTTGCCTAATATAAGTGAGCGTTTTTTTTTGTTTTTTTTGTTTTAATTCCATTAACAATAATTCAAGTAAAAATTCAAAATTAGATGAGTAAACAATACCAAATTGGGCAAGGCTACTATTATCCCTAGCTTAAGAATAAATTTGTCAACTTACCAAACATACCCAGTTGTTCAATCCTGCTAGACCTTCGTATTTCAGAATGGACAGCTACAGTAACCTATAACTGTCTTAATAAAAAACTATAAACATTTGTAAATACTGATTAGTTTGTACATAGAAAAAATATATGTATTGTATTATATATCAATGTAAATATAAATAAAGTTAAAACATTTGATACAAATGTGTACATGTTTATTTTATATGAAGTCAAATCAATAGTATTGATGTTCAAGCTGGGTTCCACTAGGCTTATTGAGAATTATACCCTATGTAAATATTAAATAAAACAACTGTAAATATTAGAGCATATTTAAGTCCCTCTATTTTCTCTAAGATGTACTACAATGCATGTAAAACCATGTAACTACCCTTTCCCACATTCCTCCACAGTGTGGAAAATGTGGGGAAGTTAAGTAAAAATAAGATGAGAGTTACTTCATTTCCCCACATTTTTCCACAGTCACCCACATTTTTCCCTGAGGTAAAAGTGTGTAAAAACAAGAATGCCATCTCCTGTTTTTACCTAATTTTCCATGCCACACATGGGAGGATTGAGGTAAAAGTGTGTAAAACTAAGTGAGAACATGTACCCTTTTTCTCCACGCATGTCAAAACATGGGTTTTTTCCTAAGGGTTACTTTCAAATTGGTCTTGCTTTTGTGGTGTATGTGGCATTTTAGCAAATCTGCCACGCTCATTTCTTTCCAGAACCATCTTGTTCACATGTAACACTAGGGTATACGCGCATGTATAGACAGATGACATAGATATACATATAAATTATATATTGCACCTGTATTTACTTACATGGGAATATTCCCTTTGGAAAAATGCAAATGCATGAACATATATTTTCATCTTATATATGACTTCAAGCTAACATATTATTTCATATTTATATTTTCATAGTTAGTCTAACATAAATAATAGATCCATGAGAACAATATTCTTTGTTTTCTTAAAAATTGATGGGTTTACTGTGAATTCAATAAATTACAATTTGCAAGGGGTAAGTATACTGTATGACCTTAGTTGCAAAGTACTGTTTATATATGCAGCTCAATAGCATAAAATATGTTGAATGAAGCATATGGTGGGGATTAGTCGTGTGACACACAAACTGACCAATACATGAGGGTATTAGCTACTTTTCACAGAAACCAAAGGAGGACAGTGATTTTATTTCAACTGGGAGCTTACCTCCACACGACTGATCATGTGACCATGGTGTTGGGTCCCTTTAAATCGTTTGATTGGTCAATACCAAACAAAAACTTTTATGACATCACGATATAACCTCAAGACATCAATCTTTCATATAATAAAACATTTAACTATTCAAAACGTGTATATTTTATATCAAATGGTTACGGTAATATATTTTTTACTAAATAATATATTCAATGGATTGGGACAACAATGTGCTTCTAATGGGTAATCTCGTTTAATTTTTCTGAACAATAGCTAGAAAGTTGTCTAGATTCCTTTAGAAAATGTCTGAAACAATTCTTAAATCATTAAAATATTTTGTATAATAGAGGAATATTTATTCTACAATTGATTATATTATATTTGATGATTTGGCGCGCTACAGTAGTTTATGTGTCAATAGTTATCCTACCTGTGTCGCATTGGTCTCCCTCCATTCCGGGTGGGCAAAGGCATTTATAATTCTCTCCGAATGTGTTGATGCAAACAGAACCTTTCCCATAGCAAGGGTCCGTGCTACATGCGTCATCTACAATATTCAAATATATAGACATTTAAGTTCTCTCCGAATGTGTTATCACATACCGCACCTTCCCCGTAGCAAGGGTCCAAGCTACATGTGTCATCTATAATATTCAAATATAAAGACATTTAAATTCTCTCCGAATGTGTTATCACATACCGCACCTTCCCCGTAGCAAGGGTCTAAGCTACATGCGTCATCTACAATATTCAAATATATAAACATTTAAGTTCTCTCCAAATGTGTTATTACATACCGCACCTTCCCCGTAGCAAGGGTCTAACCTACATGCGTCATCTACAATATTCAAATATATAAACATTTAAGTTCTCTCCAAATGTGTTATTACATACCGCATCTTCCCCGAAACAAGGGTCTAACCTACACGCGTCATCTACAATATTCAAATATATGGACATTTAAGTTCTCTCCAAATGTGTTATTACATACAGCACCTTCCCCGTAGCAAGGGTCTAAGCTACATGCGCCATCTACAATATTCAAATATATAGACATTTAAGTTCTCTCCGAATGTGTTATCACATACCGCACCTTCCCCGAAGCAAGGGTCCAAGCTACATGCGCCATCTACAATATTCAAATATATAGACATTTAAGTTCACTCCAAATGTGTTATTACATACCGCACCTTCCCTGTAGCAAGGGTCTAACCTACATGCGTCATCTACAATATTCAAATATATAGACATTTAAGTTCTCTCCGAATGTGTTATCACATACCGCACCTTCCCCGAAGCAAGGGTCTAAGCTACATGCGCCATCTACAATATTCAAATATATAAACATTTAAGTTCTCTCCGAATGTGTTATTACATACCGCATCTTCCCCGAAACAAGGGTCCAAGCTACATGCGTCATCTACAATATTCAAATATATAGACATTTAAGTTCTCTCCGAATGTGTTATTACATACTGCACCTTCCCCATAGCAAGGGTCCAAGCTACATGCGTCATCTACAATATTCAAATATATAGACATTTAAGTTCTCTCCAAATGTGTTATTACATACCGCACCTTCCCCAAAGCAAGGGTCTAAGCTACATGCGCCATCTACAATATTCAAATATATAGACATTTAAGTTCTCTCCGAATGTGTTATCACAAACCGCACCTTCCCCAAAGCAAGGGTCTAAGCTACATGCGCCATCTACAATATTCAAATATATAAACATTTAAGTTCTCTCCGAATGTGTTATTACATTCAGCATCTTCCCGAAACAAGGGTCCAAGCTACATGCGTCATCTACAATATTCAAATATATAGACATTTAAGTTCTCTCCGAATGTGTTATTACATACAGCAACTTCCCCTTAGCAAGGGTCCAAGCTACATGCGTCTACTACAATATTCAAATATATAGACATTTAAGTTCTCTCCAAATGTGTTATTACATTCAGCATCTTCCCCGAAACAAGGGTCCAAGCTACATGCGTCATCTACAATATTCAAATATATAGACATTTAAGTTCTCTCCAAATGTGTTTTACATACCGCACCTTCCCTGTAGCAAGGGTCCAAGCTACATGCGTCATCTACAATATTCAAATATATAGACATTTAAGTTCTCTCCAAATGTGTTATTACATACCGCACCTTCCCCGAAACAAGGGTCCAAGCTACATGCGTCATCTACAATATTCAAATATATAGACATTTAAGTTCTCTCCAAATGTGTTATTACATACCGCACCTTCCCTGTAGCAAGGGTCTAAGCTACATGCGTCATCTACAATATTCAAATATATAGACATTTAAGTTCACTCCGAATGTGTTATCACATACCGCACCTTCCCCGTAGCAAGGGTCTAACCTACATGCGTCATCTACAATATTCAAATATATAGACATTTAAGTTCTCTCCAAATGTGTTATTACATACCGCACCTTCCCCGTAGCAAGGGTCTAACCTACATGCGTCATCTACAATATTCAAATATATAGACATTTAAGTTCACTCCAAATGTGTTATTACATTCAGCATCTTCCCGAAACAAGGGTCCAAGCTACATGCGTCATCTACAATATTCAAATATATAGACATTTAAGTTCTCTCCGAATGTGTTATTACATACCGCACCTTCCCCGAAGCAAGGGTCCAAGCTACATGCGTCATCTACAATATTCAAATATATAAACATTTAAGTTCTCTCCGAATGTGTTATTACATACCGCACCTTCCCCGAAGCAAGGGTCCAAGCTACATGCGTCATCTACAATATTCAAATATATAGACATTTAAGTTCTCTCCGAATGTGTTATTACATACCGCATCTTCCCGAAACAAGGGTCCAAGCTACATGCGTCATCTACAATATTCAAATATATAGACATTTAAGTTCTCTCCAAATGTGTTTTACATACCGCACCTTCCCTGTAGCAAGGGTCTAAGCTACATGCGTCATCTACAATATTCAAATATATAGACATTTAAGTTCTCTCCAAATGTGTTTTACATACCGCACCTTCCCCATAGCAAGGGTCCAAGCTACATGCGTCATCTACAATATTCAAATATATAGACATTTAAGTTCTCTCCAAATGTGTTTTACATACCGCACCTTCCCTGTAGCAAGGGTCTAAGCTACATGCGTCATCTACAATATTCAAATATATAGACATTTAAGTTCTCTCCAAATGTGTTTTACATACCGCACCTTCCCTGTAGCAAGGGTCCAAGCTACATGCGTCATCTACAATATTCAAATATATAGACATTTAAGTTCTCTCCGAATGTGTTATTACATACCGCACCTTCCCTGTAGCAAGGGTCTAAGCTACATGCGTCATCTACAATATTCAAATATATAGACATTTAAGTTCTCTCCAAATGTGTTATTACATTCAGCATCTTCCCCAAACAAGGGTCCAAGCTACATGCGTCATCTACAATATTCAAATATATAGACATTTAAGTTCACTCCAAATGTGTTATTACATACCGCACCTTCCCTGTAGCAAGGGTCTAACCTACATGCGTCATCTACAATATTCAAATATATAAACATTTAAGTTCTCTCCGAATGTGTTATTACATTCAGCATCTTCCCGAAACAAGGGTCCAAGCTACATGCGTCATCTACAATATTCAAATATATAGACATTTAAGTTCACTCCAAATGTGTTATTACATTCAGCATCTTCCCGAAACAAGGGTCCAAGCTACATGCGTCATCTACAATATTCAAATATATAGACATTTAAGTTCTCTCCAAATGTGTTATCACATACCGCACCTTCCCCGTAGCAAGGGTCTAAGCTACATGCGTCATCTACAATATTCAAATATATAGACATTTAAGTTCTCTCCAAATGTGTTATTACATACCGCACCTTCCCTGTAGCAAGGGTCCAAGCTACATGCGTCATCTACAATATTCAAATATATAAATATTTAAGTTCTCTCCAAATGTGTTATTACATACCACACCTTCCCCGAAACAAGGGTCTAAGCTACATGCGTCATCTACAATATTCAAATATATAGACATTTAAGTTCTCTCCAAATGTGTTATTACATACCGCACCTTCCCTGTAGCAAGGGTCCAAGCTACATGCGTCATCTACAATATTCAAATATATAGACATTTAAGTTCTCTCCAAATGTGTTATTACATACCGCACCTTCCCCGTAGCAAGGGTCCAAGCTACATGCGTCATCTACAATATTCAAATATATAGACATTTAAGTTCTCTCCAAATGTGTTATTACATACCGCACCTTCCCCGTAGCAAGGGTCCAAGCTACATGCGTCATCTACAATATTCAAATATATAGACATTTAAGTTCACTCCAAATGTGTTATTACATACCGCACCTTCCCTGTAGCAAGGGTCCAAGCTACAAACGTAATCTACAATATTCAAATATATAGACATTTAAGTTCTCTCCAAATGTGTTATTACATACCGCATCTTCCCCGAAACAAGGGTCTAACCTACATGCGTCATCTACAATATTCAAATATATAAACATTTAAGTTCTCTCCGAATGTGTTATTACATACCGCATCTTCCCCGAAACAAGGGTCTAACCTACATGCGTCATCTACAATATTCAAATATATAGACATTTAAGTTCTCTCCGAATGTGTTATCACATACCGCACCTTCCCCGAAGCAAGGGTCTAAGCTACATGCGCCATCTACAATATTCAAATATATAAACATTTAAGTTCTCTCCGAATGTGTTATTACATACCGCATCTTCCCCGAAACAAGGGTCCAAGCTACATGCATCATCTACAATATTCAAATATATAGACATTTAAGTTCTCTCCGAATGTGTTATTACATACCGCATCTTCCCCGAAACAAGGGTCCAAGCTACATGCGTCATCTACAATATTCAAATATATAGACATTTAAGTTCTCTCCAAATGTGTTATTACATACCGCACCTTCCCTGTAGCAAGGGTCCAAGCTACATGCGTCATCTACAATATTCAAATATATGGACATTTAAGTTCTCTCCAAATGTGTTATTACATACCGCACCTTCCCCGTAGCAAGGGTCTAAGCTACATGCGTCATCTACAATATTCAAACATATAGACATTTAAGTTCTCTCCAAATGTGTTATTACATACCGCACCTTCCCTGTAGCAAGGGTCTAACCTACATGCGTCATCTACAATATTCAAATATATAGACATTTAAGTTCTCTCCAAATGTGTTATTACATACCGCACCTTCCCTGTAGCAAGGGTCTAACCTACATGCGTCATCTACAATATTCAAATATATAAACATTTAAGTTCTATCCGAATGTGTTATTACATACCGCACCTTCCCTGTAGCAAGGGTCTAAGCTACATGCGTCATCTACAATATTCAAATATATAAACATTTAAGTTCTCTCCAAATGTGTTATTACATACCGCACCTTCCCTGTAGCAAGGGTCTAAGCTACATGCGTCATCTACAATATTCAAATATATAGACATTTAAGTTCTCTCCGAATGTGTTATTACATACCGCACCTT